GTTGATCTTGTTTTGCAAAGTTTATACCCCTTATGTTTCTCGTCGAACTTAGGCAATGTCCCAGGCAAGCAACATGATCTTGGAGTGCAAAGGCACCTAAGCTCTAGAAACAGTGATTGTGTCAACATACATATGATTGACCATTATCTTAAATTTATTTCATGATAGCTATTGTATATTGCTATCTCAGGTTGGGAGGCCAAGATGATCGCAGCTGGCACGTCGGTGACTCATACCCAAGCGGCTTTGAACAATTTGATTGGGTATGTCGCTACATGTCAACCCTGTTACGTAACCCTTCCCCATACAATCAATCGGATGGTTTTAAACTTTGAGGTGAGATCATTAATGTATATTAATTTATATATATATATATTGTATCTATATATATATATACACGTATATGTATCTGTATGTTGTGTCAGCAAATCTAGATAAATGTTTTGCTTGTGAGGCCGGAACTTTTGAGGAAGGCTGTGCTCCAGGACATGGAGAAGCATGCTGATGAGCTTAGTGATGCCCGTACTGCAGTGGAGGCCATTCTATCCAATCCTCTACTTCAAGCATTGTTTTCTGGTCAAGTTAGGGGATCTACACTCTACACTGATCTACACATATATAATTATATACATACATATATCGTATGCATCAAATCGTATCATTACATTTTATAATTGTGATTGTAATACGCCAGTTCCCTATCACGTTTGGCAGGCTACCGTGGCCAAGTCGGCAAGTGATGATGAGTTACGGCTGGCTTGCCAAAAGCTTGCCGGGGCCGTGTCCAGTTACAAGCAAGCTGCTAAGTCGTGCAGAAACTTGTCGACCAAACCAAAGGCGAAGGCAAAGGCCATTGCAGAACCTGGTGCAAATGGCGCAATGTAGGTAGTCTGTGAACAGCAAGGTGACCATTTATGGGTCTTGGGTGATGTGCTCTCTGGATGCTCCTGTAAAACCATTTCTGTTGAACTTGATTCGGAATTTCCAACCAAATTTTGATACCTACATGTCTGGTTCAATGCATAATGAGCACACAGTTTTTGAAGCATAGATGCGATAGATGAACTGAACACGATCTGCATTGAAAGATGCTACACCATCGTGAAATCCAGCCGGGGATCCTTGCAAGAAAAGCCCTTGTTGATACTATATGTTGGGATGATCCCAAAAACCGAATATGATCCATTCAATTTGGTAATTGGTATATATTGGTCATATTTGGTAATTTTGAGGGCTTTTGCAGGGCATACTATCAAGCGTGAAGGGATTGCCTGAAAAAAAAACCGTGTCCGCATCGTGATTGGACATGATTGCATGGTTTATCTGTGTCATAAGATTGGAGATTAGGGTCTATATATTAGCAGGTATCCTACATTTTGAACGCACTATTTATCGGGGATCCATTGTCACACCCCTCGCGCAGATGTACCGTTTGCAGAACATCTTCTATCTACTCTTGGTCGTGGTGTCCCTTGACTGCAAAACCATGTGCATGTGAGGGTTCATGTCAATAATGACAGAAAAGTCGAAGATCTCCTTAGAGAAAGGAAATTGGTACCAGATTTTGACCATGATTCGGTATTTGAACATAGACCCAAGTCAACCCCCACGTTGTGATATCTATTTCTATCTATCTATCTATCGATCTATCTATCTATCTGTCTATCTATCTATCTATCTATTTATCTATCTATCTATCTATCTATCTATCTATCTATATTGTCTCCCGTGTTCTGACTTTGAGGCATCTAGCTGTGCCGACCTGCAGAAGGCTGCAGAGGCCGTTGTGAAGGACCGGGCGTGAAGGGACCCAAAACGATATTGTGTTTTCAATCCACAAACATACCATTAATTATATATATATATTTATTTTTTAAATATATAATAAGGATCCTTGAACATCACTCCCAGCAGTAAATATGTGGATACATCAGGAAAGCCGCGGAAACGTCTCCAGCCTCACCAAGCGAATTGCGTCCATCGGGACCCATGGACGGCATCCAAACAATGCCGAGAGAGATCTTTTTCGGATCTTAGATCTCCCACTAGCCACTGATTGTTTGATATTACAGGGTGCCTAAATTTTGGGTTTGTCCCCGTATGGAATGGTTGCAATATTGTTTAATCCTTCTATTTTCTGGAACCCATTAATTATGTTTCTGTCCCACACGTGGATCCATGAATATACATTTTTTTCAAAACCACAGGGATGATACCACAAGTTTTTCGTTTTGACCGAAACCATCACCATCCCGATCAAGGATCTCTACTTTGTGACAGTTCCTGTGAAAGACATGTCAGACCCAGAGCGGAAACGGAAATCGACTTTGCGTGTTCCAATGCTTTTACCACATGAGCTTCTGAACTACCTACATGAGCCATGGCCTATCTGGACCATACTTTTGTTTGTTGTTTTGATTATTTATGTTTTCTTGTTGTGATCTTACCTTCTTTACGCTATATACACGTATCATCAAACCGGCAGGTGGCGGGCAAGGTCACCGTAAACAACCAAGATGTTGCAGAGTTCTGGCATCATTGGGCCAATCACATGCCCAAGCACCCTGCTGCAGATGATGCTAACAAAGTTGATGATGGTGTCATGAGGATACCGGTAGGTCTAGCAGGGGACGATGCGAAGTACACATTGAGTGGATCGAAATTCATTGTGGTGATGGTATCATCAATCCTGTACAAGGTACAAAGAGATTCAGCTGAACATTTGTATATATGTTTTTTTCGCGTTCAAAAAAGGATTTCCACTTGTTTTTAATTTGGAACACTCTAATTAATGTTTGGGCTTTCTTTTACCTGGTAAAATACTTGTAGCTGAGGCTTGGATTTGTCACGGTTTCCCTTATTCATCCTACGGCATGAGCTGTCTTTGGGGTGCAAAACATTGGACCCTCTTTTCAGGGTCATTGCCTGGTCCATGAACGACTCTTGGTTCCACAACAAAAACACATTTTGGGAACTGATTTTACACCGTGTGCAGCATACACTGACATTCGATTGTTTGATTATTTGATTTACTGCATTTTTTAATATTATAGTATAATCGACATCGCAACATCTTTTCATTTATCTTCCTGATCCTTCCTGCTTGCGAGGTGGCCTACATTGGGATTTGGCCTGGCACCGGCCCTGATGGTGAGCTCTTGGATGCAAACCGTAGGGCCAAGTCCAACAAACCCATGGCAAACAAATTTGCCACTGTTGAATATCGTGGTGACTGGAAATGGCACAAAGAGGCATTTGGATTATCGAGAGGTTACAACTCAATTGCAATTTGTCACTTGTGCGATGCTTCGACAAAGAGAACGAGTGGTTCACAGATATTTGGCTGAAGCATTCAATTTGTTGTATCCCTCGAAATACCCGGTCAAAAAATATCAGAGTATTTGTTGAGAATAGAATTTGTCTTTGATTATTTTGATTTTTCATCATCGCAAAAGTGGCTTTTTGTTCATTTTTGTTGGCTGTGATAGGATCGAGATCTCGCGCAATTCAGGTATACAAATTTTGCAGCGTTTCCATTCCGGAGAATGACAGAACCACAATTTTACACGAAATGCATTCACGCATGGGTATCGCCATTGACATTCATCATTGGGTTTTCTTCGGGTCTTATACGCATGTGCTCCATGCACACGGTTCACCTTGGCATTTGCCAGTGGCTGAACGCTTCAGCGATCCTGGATTTGTGTGACATTGTTTTTTTAAGGGAAAGACGTTGGCTGAGCAACTGGTTTCGCTGACGCATGCCTTCAACAGGTGGTGCAAAGTCAACTCGATTGAGCCACTTGTATTGCCTTCACTATATATTATATTAGATGTCATTTCCTCGTGTTAATTGGGATAATCGATTTTTTGGGTGGATGGGAGGGGAAGGAATGCAATGATTTGAGTCAAACAAGGCACTACCAGCATAGCTTTCCTGTGTCCTTACTGGGCATCAGTTCGAGAGATTATCCAGAGCTGAAACTAAAAGCATACACCAATCGTGTGATGACATCTTTCCTGGCTGTATGCCTCCAAGAGGCGTGCAACAAGTTTGAGGAGTCAGAGAGACCACCCCGGCTTGTGCTGGCATGTGCGTCTATGCAGAAGTTGAATGAATGGCTGCTCCGGATAGAGATGACGCAGCGCTACATGACACAAAAGGAGGCTGATGACATTTACAGCCTGTGTTTTGAGTGACTAAACCTTGTTTGGCGATTATTTTTTTTGAAGAACTTGGATGAACAATCAGTTTTTCCTGCTGTGTGCAGTGCATGATTTGAAGCCAACAAGGTTTCTGAAAGTATACCGCGTGTTGGCAAAGACAACTGCGCAAGCTGGTATTATGCGATACCCGGTTAAACCGAAATTGCATGTCGCTTGTTAGTTGATTAGCTAACTTATTATTGTTTTAATTTTGTTTTTTCATGTTGGTTACACTTGGGGAGAAAACAGCTGTTTTTGTTCAATATGAACCTTGGGTATGAGTTGTTTTGAACCTGTCTTACTGGCCAACCAAGATGTTTCAAGAGCTTTGCTTCCTTCAGACCTTTGAACTATACAATATGCGCTGCACACATACATATATCGACGAAGACGCTATAGGCACTCTCAAAGGTCTATGTCGCCGAGTCCACCGACGCATGTTAGAATTGCGGGTTCTATTGAGGTGGATGTTGAGACTTCAAACTCACACAAGAAAACCTGAAGCTATGTAGCGATGGTGAGAAAAGAAGAGGGGTCCTGGAGGGGTCTCGGAAGGCTTTCGGGGGTGGCTCTCGGAGGGTCATGTTGAATGTAGCTGAATTTTGCCTACGTAGGCCTCTAAGGTTGCAATGTAGCTTCCTAACCAAACATTCTCGAATGTCATTGTATACTGCACACTTTAGATCCTAAGGGATATATATATTAAAATCTTCTAGGTTTCCCCTTTAGTGTTGTGTCGGTTTATCCCATGATGTGCCCCTCCCCCAGCCCGTAAACGCCGTGTGGATTCCGAGGCCTAAGGCAACAGCTGGCTGAAGGACTGCCAGTTGAGCATCGCTGAAAATTGAGTTGTATTATAATATATGGCATTCATATAGCATTTATATGTATTACACCTTCATAATATGTATATATATATATATATATAGATAAATACTCTAGGCCTAGACTTCCCAACACCTTGCGAGGTCTTTGTAAGGCTAGGTGTTTCCATCTGGGTTCACTTACGGCCACCCCATCCCCCAAGACGAAGGAGTGCCTGGTGGCTTTGGTGGGCTGGGAAGCTCAACGGGATGGATGACCTCATTGAGACTGACCCTTTGGGCGGGCCGACCTTTTAGGTCTGCAAAATATGAGTGTTCCTAGAAAAACAGGGGCTGATGGCAAAGAAGGGAACCACATCCCATGTTTTGGTGATATGCCATGGGTTCGTGGCTGGAGAATCTTACCGCATCTTACTGGAACATGTGTTTGAGCCGATGATTGATGGTCCTCTGGAACAAGAAACAATGAGGTGTATGTCAAATTTCAAGTGGGGCGCATTTGGGACATTTAACTTCAAGTAAGTAAGTCCTTCCACCTAGTAATAAAATGTAAGAAAGGCCCGTCCAGAAACTTTGGTTTAGTTAAAGGATAAGTCCATTGTGGGGCACTGTGGATTTATGATTGGGGAACTGGGAAACTAAAACTGTTCACCGATTATTCACCCAAGGAATCAACAGTAACAGACTGTCCAGGTTGCCACTCACAGAGAAGCAGTGGCCAGAAACCCAGAGATCAGTTGCCACATGCGAAGAGATGAGATGGAAAGCAAACTCTAGGTTGTACAGTGTGGAATCCCCGAGATGTACAGGTAAGTTGCTTATAAATACTCAATTTTTTGGTGGATAAATCTACAGTTGGTGGACATAAACCAACTCACAATTGATCAATTGGGGGGGCCACTTTGTCGTTGATTATGCTTCCTCGGCCTGAAGAGTGACCTATTTGGGAAGGGACTGTTCCCGTAGCTGTTGTTCCTATGAACCGATTCCCATGGGACAAGTGCAGTGGTACTACCTTGACACCGTCCCAACACATCCCCATGGAGGCTGCACCATGTCTTGGACTATTGGGAGTTCATCCACAAGCGAAGCGTCGCTCGGCTGAGTGTTGAAGGGTTGATGAAATAGCCAAGAAAAAATGGAAACATGAAATAAATATGACTTAGCACTAGCTTACGTTTCTATCTTTTTTGGGGTGACTATACAGTGAATTCACACCGTTGTATACTATCGACTCATTGAAGTCAGAGGAATTGATTCTCAAGCAGTCAATTTTTTGGAGCCGCAGACGTTCACTTTTCCTCCTGACACTCGGAGCTGTTCAAATTGGATCCACTGGAATAGTTGTAACTTTTGACTCTATTGATTGTGACACCACCCTCTGCAGCCCATGGTTGTCTGAGATGGCAATGAAAAAGACATGCCCCAGATGCTCCATGTATGGAATATTTACCTACAAAACTGGGCTATTTTTGGGGTAAATGTAGGTAAATATTCCAGCACCATGGAGCATCTGGGATGGAGATCTTTTACCCAGAGATTTCCCCAGCCCGTGAGTCCAATTTATCGCAACGTTTGATTTACTGTTCAGCCTAGAACCTGAAACGATCTGAAACCACAGTGCTTTGGTAAGGCTGGATCCAAAAGATCTCTATGATGGCGACCGCACCACGCGACTATATTTGCTGACGAGGATAAGGGAATCATCCCCAATTTTTCGCAGCATTGTTAAAAGATTGTTAAAAGTGTTTGTTCGGCCCCATAGGACCAAACAAACATGGTTCAATTACTATATACATGATGGTTTGTAAGGCTTTAGTAGGGGGAATCACCCCAAATAGGCCCAACTTTTGAGGTAAATGATGTGAGATTCTGCCGGAATTGTCTGAGGATGTTCAGTCCTACTTCGATCTCCTGTCTTCAGGTTGGGGAGCAGTGGGGATTGCTTCAGAAATCGGCTGAAATGTGGCTGTTCGTCTCACAAAAGGTGGTGGGGATACCACTTGACAATTGATACCACTCAAAGACACTCAAAGTGATTCAAAGATGTTCAATGTGGTATATGTAAATAGCTGAAAACTGCTATTTTTTGTTTAAATGTTCCAAACTATATATCTACATAAATTCAGATAAGATGTTCAGTCTTTGGTTCGTATTGGTCTGAATACCAACCCGCGTCCCAAAGTGACTTTTTTAGCCCCATCGGTTATAACCCTTAGTGTATTCTCACATTTGAAAACCGTTTTTTGAGCAATTTGGCTTTGTCTAAAGAGTCTAAAGTCAGGAATCCACAAAATCAGATTCAAACAAAGTGCTTGATCATAGTTTTGATCATTTTTGATCATATTTTCCCATATGTTCATCATATTTCCCCGGAAAATCTAGTTTCGATCATGTTTTCATCATATTTCCCCAAGAATTTCCAATGGGCCATTTGCGGGGGTCCTTAAACCTTCCGTCGCCGAGGTCGTTTGAAGAGCTTCGATTCCCCTGATCCAAAGTCCAGTTGAGAACGCCGTGGAGGGCTTGGCTACACGACTTCGAAGGACGTTGAAGAACTAACGTTGGAACATTCTACCCTCTGGTAAACTAACATAACTATGGAAATTGGCCCATTTATGGTTGATCTACCTGTTGTAAATGGTGATTTTCCATAGCTATGTTAGTTTACCAGAGGGTACATTATAATTGGCAACACAATACTATTAACTGCTGCGATGGCACATACGGATTGTCGGATTGTTCTGCCAGCTGACTGAGTCTGAGATCTTCCATTTGGAGTTAATGTGGGACCCACAAAACAAAATACAACGTTGGTTTTCCCATCACAGTCTGGCAATCCTTCATGGAGAGCTGGGACACCCCTTATGAATCTCAGAGGAATGGAGGACTTTCCATTGCCATGTTTGAGTACCGGAGGGTAAAACGAAGCCGCTGCTACCAGATGAGCAACGATTCCCGACATTCTCGCAGATTTTGTCAGCTTAGACAAGCAGCAGCTTGTACTCATGATTCTAGCAATTTCTTGCCCATATTCCAGGGCCGAACATATTCCATGCCAAAATAGCTGGGAAATTTCAGGGAATTGCGAAGACCCCTTTCAGGTGAAATTTGTATTTCATACAGTTTGCCAAGTACTCCTTTTCTTCTGGCACGTACGTTGTCGACTGCACATGTTCTTCCGCAAAGAAGATCCTTACTTTCAACAATTTCTGGAAATGTCATAATTAATAATGTTGAGCTTTCCAAAAGTGGATTAATAATGTTCTTATGGGAATTTGTCATCTACACTTTTCAGGATCTCAAAACCCAATTCATAAGCTTTAAGCTTATGTTCTGGCACGCTTGGCTGGCCTTTCACCAGCAGCGCCATCCCCATCTTTCTTGACATCTTTGTGGCCCCGCAAAGAGCCCTGCACAACAGGATCTCGGAACACAAATCATCGACGATCCTGTTTTCTTCCGTGCAAACTAATTCCACCGATAGAGTACGATGCCACCCCTGGAGTGCGCTAATTTTCTGGAATGCGAAAATAAAACAGTATGCGTGGCCCCCTTCGACCTTCCCCATGGATCTAACACCAGTTTTTTCCATCATATACCAGAAAATTATCACATTTCACCCTGCTGAGCTTTTTTTTTCTTTTTTTTTGGCAATTTTTGGCCAAAATGGTCTGGAATGCGATAGCATGTGAAACTACAGACGTCTCACGCGAAACCGCTACCTTGCCCATATTCCAGAAAACGTGATTCCAGGCGATTTTAGCCAAAAAAAAAACGAAAAAAAAAAAACGAAAAAAAAAAACGCAAAAAACAAAAAATCACTGAGTACAAAGATTTTATGGAGTGCGAAGATCTTGCAGAGTGCGTGGATATTATAGTATGTGCACGTCCCTAGCTGTGGAGTGCGATGCCCTCGCTGGAGTGCGAAGAATTTGTGGAATGCTTAGAATTCCGAGTATGCGTGGCTGGTATAGAGACCACATAGGGAAATTTCGGGGCCAGAACCAAAATTCCAATCCCAAAGCCGGCCCAAACTTCCAGGGGCACACCAGTGGGTTCTATTTTTCCGAGTTCACCTTGGGTGAGGCCCCGGGGAAGAAACTTTCTAATTTTTACTCAGCCAACCTTTAAAAACGTTACCCTTGACAACCCTGTCCTTCTTCGTCGCAAAGCAAAATTATTATGTATACAAGCCAACTCGCAAATGCGCATCATTCTAGAGGCAACATTCCCATATTCAGAAAATCTTCGCATACCATGTTTTCATCGTACTCCAGACCTGGGTTTTGGTATGTTACTTTGATAGGCATTTCAGCTCAATCTGGAGGGAACAGTTGGGCCACGGCGAATCCACTGAATGCCCCTCCACAGTTTTCTATCCCCTATGTCGTTCCAAAGCAGCTGTGGACGTTGAATGAATTGAAGGCTGCTTTGATAAGGAAGTTTCTTCATTTGTCTACCGAATTTTTGTAGCTACAAAAAAGATCCCTCCTGCCTCCTGTGCGTATTTGTGCATTTGTATCAGCAATGCCTATTTGCCATCCCTACTTGATGTGATTATCCCAAATCAATCAGCATATGAATTTTGCAACCGCCTTGGCGGCTCAATGATCAATCAAAGCTAGACACTTAGACTATTGCAACACAACCAGTTGGCCAAGTTGTAGATCCAAACTCCTACCAACCAAAGCCATTGGCACAACCAGGCGTTTTTTAAACTGAGGTAAAACTTGGATCAGCACCCATGTTGTAGCAGGATATAATATAGTCATACATATACCATCTGGTTATGACTAACATAGCCATGGAAAATCACCATGCTATTAATAGGTAAACCATCTATTTTGGGCCATTTTCCATGGCTATGTTAAATAACCAGAGGGTACATATATACATGTATACATATAGATTTATTTTCCCTCATGTTTGTATCGATACAATTCACTTTCGTAGTTGTGATGACGGAAGCCTCATACAGATCTACCATTCGATACTCCAACAGAACATCTGGAGGTTATGACTCTCCCAGTTTCCGGTGCTGCCCCAGTTCAGCTAAGTTGCCTTACAAGATCTTGTCTTACAACTATCAACTAGCTATAGTTATTGTAATAATTATAATAACCATTAATAACACACATATATATATATATATCATAAGTGAAGCAGTCTTATCATAATCACGATAGTTACTCCTTTGGAAGCTAACATAGCAAGGTGGCACCACGTTGTGCACCTTGCGGGGCACCGGCACGCAGCCAAGCCATGCAAATTCTGGCGGTCTCTGGCAACGTCCTGACGGAACTCGCTGCCCAAAACATCGACGGAACTCGCGAACCGCTGAGCACCTTGGATTATTTGGATTGAAAAGGCAACAAAAAATCGCCGGGTATAGGGGAATTCATGGGATTTTAAGTCAATATCATGAGGATATGAGTAATATCAATCTATATATATATATGATGTTAATTGGATTTGTTATGTGATTTTAATGCGATGTTAATTAGTTTTTCAGCGGAATTTCACACATGTAAATGTGGATGAATATATAATTACTAGGTCACCACTGTAAATATGCATGAATATGAATTTTGATGAATTTTGCAGGATTTTAGTGGTAGAACTAGTGCAAAGTTAAGAACTGTTAGACGATGGTTGGACAGATGATAGACCACCGATGGGTGATATCACCCGGGATTGAAAACACCAGTACCTTTCGAGGCCGATTGACATCGATTAACACATTACATAATACGTCAGGTTAATACATTATTATCTGATATGTTAACATATGTTAAGCATATGTATATATATGTATGTGTATTATTATATATGACCGATTAACAAACTATTAAAACATTAACCATAGATTTTGTTCGCTTTCCAACACTTTCGAGCGCTGCTTGATCACAGGCCAGTTGGTGAAGACTGAGCTGCAATCAAAGAGCCTCGGTCACCGCCGACTGCATGACCCAGAGATGGTTCAACTGTTTGCTGTAAATGGTGTTATTATATTCATTTATATTCAAACCAGCTCAAAGTACAACAGTATTTGGTTTTGCTTGGTATTTTTCGGACCCATCATATTAAAGAAAAAGCTGGCTTTGTTGGCCTCAAATTAGGTTTGGGATTTGACATACGAATATGGAGTATCTCTAGATGTCTAGTTGGACGTTTGTGATGATTGCATGTATTGACTTTGTTGGGCTGAACTATAGTCTGACTGTCTGACCCATTTGGAGCGACCTTTTATTTACTGATATATGTTGGTTCTCGTCAATACTTGTTACAACTTTTGACTGAATACATCATGACAATTTCAACATGTCGGGTTCCTAAAAAACAGCCTCATACATTTTCCTTAAGCTTGAAGCCCATCCCAAACAGTTCCGACTTTACGATTTCATGGATACACCACCAGACATTGAACAGTTGGGACTTCAATTCTAATATTCTAATCGTGTCCACAAGCGGAGCCTTGTGTCCAGCACCCCATGTCTTTTTGCATAAGGCAAGTCAAAACTTGGGTACCAAAGAATAGGACGGTCGAATACAAACAGATAATCAGATAGCGAGTTCAGACGAGTTCAGTGCAGTTACTACCATTAGATAGGACATCTACCATGTTAGTCATAATAGGCATCTACCATTAGTGGAGCCTCGCAGGTATACCCACACCCATCGAGGTCATCACAAAGATCTTCGTAAAAACATCTGTTCTTCATAGGATTTTCATAGGATTTTCATAGGATTTTCCAATATTTTCCATATATCTATCTTAGTTTACTGGAGCGTACATTGCGCGGAAATCGTTTCATTGACCTCTTAAGGTCTTGAAGATCCATAAGTAGCCTCGAGCAATCAAGTACGTGGCAATTGACAATGTTTGCCATTTATAACATGGATTTTTCCATGATTTTCCATGTTTTTCCCAGCTTAGAAAGCTCCATTTGTTGCTTGGCTTTTCCCAGCTCGCCACGGCCCTGGGCCGAGGCTCGGCTTCAACGCGGCGCGCTTGCGACTGCTGTGGGATGGACAGGAACTGCCCGAGCAGGGATCCTACGAGGCTTGGCGTGGGGATCCATTCACCATTCATATCCCGCAGTTATGGCCATGGCTATCAGTTATAACTGGTTATTTCAATGGGATAACAAACAATCTATAAATGGGATTATGTTAGTACTTATAACTGGTATTTCGGGCCATAACTGCGATGGTTCATAGTCAAAGCTTCATTTAAAGTTGATGGTTGTAGAAACTAACTAATTACTGTAACTAACTGGCATCAAAACCAGAAAACAGTGATAACTGATATGAATTGATATGATTTGATTACCTCACATAGAACATGTGATTCATTTAACCACCTAGTCTTGCCATGGCTTTTGCCCAGTTGTTTTGTTCATGGCATTCACCACGGCCTGGTCAGGACTTGGGCCAGCCCAAAGAGCTTCAGCACCTGGGGCTGGAAGGTAAGATGAGGTAAGGCTGGAGAGCAATCCTTGGTTCAAGAGTCAGTTCTTAAGATACCCCCGCAGTCCCCAGGTATATCCAGTTATACAAATTAGCTGTGAATAATTTCCATAGATACATGTGTAATATTGTTTAATAGTTGAATCCTCTTGGGTCTTAGGGTTCTACCCAGCTACGAATCACGGGACGGGTTAAGGTACACCACTTGCGATTCGATTCAACGGAAGCTAAGAATTATCCCATCACATCCAATTACCCTCAAGTCATTAAGTCCAATACTACCCAAATGCTCAACATTTGTAGATGTGCATCTGCAAACTTGGGTTTGTTGTCCAATTGCTAGGATAAAGTACCAGCGGGCGGGCAGATCCCATTTTTCAGGATAACATCCTCACTTTCCCAGTTAAAGCCGGCATTTGTCCAAGTGAAATATCAATGTTGCCAGGTGACACCACAATTTTCCACATTTTTTGTTTAACCAGCAGAAGGTAGGTCAAACCCTTGTGACATTATTTGACACAATTGTCAGTAATTTCCATCATATGTTATTTATGTATATTTATGTTTCAGTTTACCCTCTGGTAATCAAACATGGCAATGTAAAATCACCCACTTATAAATTATTTCCTGATTCAAATCCCAATTATTCAGGAATTTCCAGCCTGCCATGGCCGGAGGGTATCGGCTAATATCCCGTTCATATTCCATGAAATCCCATCAAAATAGGTGATAAGTTCCTTTTGTAATCCCTGCTATCCCACCGGCAAAATACCCAATGACGAGGTTGGTGGTGCTCCCTTACCGCCACGACCAAGCGGATGCTTTGCGTTCGGCCTCCGCGCAAGGCGTGGGTTTTGCCAAAGGGTTTTAGGTGACTGTGGGTTCAACTGTAAATGTGGGGGATCAATGCGTGAAGCAACAAGAAATTGGGATTTTACCAGCAAAACCCATGGATGTCACTCGGATTCTACCAGCAAAAACATCTATTTTTGAGCAGCAGAAATGGAGATTGATGGCTGGAACCATGGTGATTTAACACCGATTTCCGGAGGAGCTAACGTGGTGAAATTGTCGCAGGTGACACGATTTCTCCAGTGAAATTGATGTGCACGTATATGATATATGTACACATCAATTTAATATTTGATATACATATATCATGTATAGATGTTAATGAGTTATATTTGATATTTGATATATCATAATATTTGATATATCACTTATGTGCATGTATAGATGTTAATGAGTTGTATTCCAAACTCCGCCCTAAGAACCCCGCTTGGATTGTTTATTCACACCCCCTCCGTCAACAAAAACGCAAACCTTCTTTGACACAGGCAACTTGACAGAAGTGAAGGCACTGCTCCACCTGCCACAGGCACTGGCAGAATTCAAATTGTGAAACCACTGGAAGTTCGCTTGCACATTGTTTTGTCTCATACACACTTGTACATTCTAGACTCTAGCATCTTTAAATATCTCTGATCATGTTGATTTTTCTCACATCCCAGATGCTCCATGTACGGAATATTGACCTACATAACTGGGCCATTGTTGGGGGTAAATGTAGGTGTGCATATTCCAGCATGGGTTGCATCTGGGCATATATTCCACCAGCTGCAGGATCCGAACAGTGGCGGAGACACTGGACCCCAAGCCTTCACAGCTCTGCAGTGCGCCGCAGAATGCGGGCATTTGGAGGTGCGCGGTAAAAATGGTGAGCTGCTATCATTGGATGGAAGAAATCCTGCATCACCTTGGATGGTTGAAACCCTTTAAATAGTGGGATAAACATGGATAAAGCACCTATCAACTGGTGCAGGATTTCTTCCACCCACCGTATCATTAGTCATTGGTCCCTATAAATTCCATTGTTGAATGCTTCGCGATGAATTGTCAAAATACATTTAAAGGTAGGCCGCCGTGATAAGATCCATTCAAATGGTTTTGAAATTTATCCATCCAATTCTGGATTTGTCCACCATAAATTGCCATTTTATAAATCCTTATTGGAGTTGTCAAGCAACAGAAACATCTGTGAAACGCGGCCCACATAGTTGCCTTCACCGTCAAAATGAGAGTTAAGCAGTGAATACTATGAGATTGTGTCCTGCAATATGGATCAATATGGCAGAACATGAAAAATAAATGGTACGTTGGTTCATAGCTAGGCAACCCAATGGGTTTGTGGTGGATATTGATATTGTTTATAGTTGGAAGTGGTATTCTAGCACATTCTAGCACCTGGCTTAAATTTTGGGGTCCAATTTTGTACCATGGGCTGGGTTCATCTTGGTGAATGTTGGGTTCATCGGGCTTTATTTGTTACATGGTGGCATGCCAATGTGGGGATCCCATACCCCCATGTTTCTGCACCCATTAATCTGGCTTCTCCTGGTGGCTTCAAGTTGTTTTTCATGTTTGAACCGCTGCCAGGTGGTTCAAACACTGCTACAGGCCGGGCGAACGGTGCTTCCAGTTGGCTGATCTTATGTGGTTGTATGTTTGTTTCGTCATCTTGGGGACGGCAATACCGAATGACTGATAATCCCCAATGATGTTCAATTCACTTAAAACTCTGGTTTCGGTTGGCTATATCTGTTTCAATGTATAAATCTCAACATGTTCACTACAGTTTGGATCTCCCACCCCTTAGGATGTATATTGAATTATTGAGATATATTGAGGGGGATCAGTTTGGTTATAAATCCACGGAAATTTCATGTTTAAAATCGTCGAATGCCCCTGAATCAGTGATCACCCCACTGGGTCGACCATGTTCCAGGCCCGAGCTGTACCGGACACCCAGCAGTTGACGCCGCTCTGGTTCGCCGCCGCGCACGGGCATTTGGACCGGGCCGCAGCCAGTGGGTGTTAAATGAGCAGTTACCAAAACCGGTGATGATTGAGGATAGGAATTGCTTATAGTATCGGACTGAAACTTAGAATGCCGAGGCCCTCAAGCTCGCGCCCTCCTAAAGAATGCCGCCCCGGGAGCAAAATAAAAAAAAAACATCCTGCATTTTTCAACGTGCTGCTACGCGGGCTGGAGTTTTAGTAATGAGCCGTCCGTAGGTAAATTCTCCGAGAATTTACAGGTGATATGAAATGCCCCATAATGCCACAAAAAAAGTCCAGCTCGCAGGTTTGAATTTTGGGTGATGGAGGCATTCCAAGTGACCCCCAAAAATGAAGTTTTTTTCGGAGGCATTCTAAGTGCGCAGGGAAAATATTTAAGAAACATGGAGGCATTCTAAGTTTCAGTCCGTCTATATATTAGCTGGGATTATGGTATACCTCATTGATTAGGGACTATGATAACCCAAAAATAATCCACAATATGGATATTCACAGGTCAAATAGGCTGGAAGTACATAGACAACCCATTGACCATCGGACCTGAACGGGCAAGAATATGTGAATGATAAATGCTTGTGTGATAAATCCTAACAATCCATAGCAGATCCAATGATTTTGCCTCATTTCACGGGATTTTCTATGATTTTCTGATAGATTTTGGGCTCCATCCCACAGTGAGCCCAAAGTCAGCTGCTTCTCCAGCAACGGGGCACCGAAGTCTGGACGCAGGAGGTGGTGCAGTGTTTGATGGACGCCGGAGCCTCCAAGGATGTCGGAGTGTGACGAAGTGGGAGTGCTTGGAGGGGCGCTTAAGATTGGTGAAGTGGGTAATAACTACCCTCTGGTTATGACTAACATAGCCATGGAAAATCACCATTTTTCATAGGTAAACCCAGGTAAACCATCTATAAATGGCCCATGTTCCATGGCTATGTTAAATAACCAGAGGTTTAAGTTGAAAATTGATAAAATAGTCTAATGTGAAAATACAAGCGAGCTACAAAAAGAGAGTAAGATAGAGTAGTAGTATACAGCGGGATGCAAGCGCTGAAACTTGTTATTTCAGTGGCTTTGCTATGACTTGCTTCTATCTCTGGGTGATCGATTGATTTGCACTTTAGACTCTAGACAAGCAAAAATCAAATTTTGGTTGGTTCTCAATTGGTAAAACTTATAAATTCCATGTAAGACCCTATTTTCAACGGTTAAATCCGAATGGGTCAATTCCCACTAAGACCCATATGTTTGAGGCATTTGTTGGTTACGTTGTGCCTATGTGGGCGTTCCTTCAAGGACAAAGCGGAGCAGAGCGGCAGCACAGCGGTCCAAGTCGCAGCCGCCAATGGGCAGCTGGAGAATTTGCTGCGAATGGGCCGTGGGCAGACGGTAAGTTATGAGAGTTAGATGATGTTAGATGTCATAGTATACTTGACTATCCAAGAATAGGTAGTTGGTTGGGGTTGGTCATATTGAGCAATTGGGATTTACCAACAAAAAAACTATGTACCAACATAATGAATGCTTCAGATGGTTTGAGCCTTAAAACATATATGGTGATCTTTCAAATATGTGCAAACATCTGATATGTTTTTTGTTGCGGCAAGTAAGTAGGTAGTTGCCATCTGGTTATTTAACATAGCCATGGAAAATCACCATTTTTTCATAGGTAAACCCAGGTAAACCATCTATAAATGGGCCATTTTCCATGGCTGTGTTAAATAACCAGAGGGTAAGAGATAAACATACACAATCTGGATTTGGGGTTGAACGGGTTGAACGCGACATCCAGTGACATGAACAAAAACAACACACTATCTGGTTATATATGATTAGATTTGTTTCGGGTACTCATAAATCGTTTGTAACACTCATATTTTATCATAGTTTACCTAGCTATGTTTTAATATATTTAACATACATCGTTTATGGTATAAATATGATCGCAGACTTTGACAATGTTAATAAACATAGACAGTCGTATCCAACAGCAATGATTCTTGGTCAAATGCATATGAATGAATTGTTGACTTATCAGCTTGTGCACTCGCATTTATTCCGGCAAACAAACACATGTAAGTATTGTAATTCGGTAGAGCCAACAAGCATTGTGGCATGGCAGGCGAACCTGCTTGCTTCAGACTGGGCTAAAACACAACTCCTGTTTGAAGTATGCAGCGGTTGGATGCGGTTGGTTGTCTTTTTTTTACACCTGCACACTTGTATCTTGTGAATGTATGATACCCGATACCCAGATGCAACCCATGGTGCTGGAATATTTACTGTACCTATACATTTACTCCCAACAATGGCCCAGTTATGTAGGTAAATATTCCATACATGGAGCATCTGGATATCATACATTGTAAGTATTTTACACTAAATCTTTGATCTCCTGCGCCTGAGCGCATGATAAATCCATACTCTCACGCTGAAGTTTGTCTGGCGATCAAATCTTGTATTTTATATGGAGCCATAGATGATTTGAACAAGCAACGTTCTCGCCCTCGAAATCAGAGAATAGGAGTCAGATCATGTAAGAACAATGCATATCTTTTAGAACAAATGAAGCCAGCCTATTGTTTCGCATTTGGTCTTTCTGTTTGGTAGAAGCAGGACATTGCATCTCGGAACACCAAAAGCACCTGGCAGGAAGTGGTCGACTGCTTGCTAAATGCGGCGGCAGACTTGAATAAACCCGAAACTTTGGCTGCCGCGTTCAACTGATTTGCTGGTTGGTGGTTTGGAACATGAATTTTATTTTTCCATATATTGGGAATAATAATCAATCATCCCAACTGACTTTCATATTTTTCAGAGGGGTAGGTATACCACCAGTTTGGCTGGAGTGGTTTCAGGCATGTTTTGAAGTGCCCATCCTTTTGGATCGTCGTTGTTTTTTTTACTTTTGGTCGATGTACCATGCTGGATGACCAGCACTTCTGCCGGGGATGTGATGGGGATCCATGTAAAATGTCCCTCCTCCAATTCAAGGCGTTCTTGATGAGCAAACAAACATCCCGAAGTCCGGGGAAGCAAAATCGATCACTATCTGCATGTTGGCATGTTCAAGCCATAAACTGCTATGGAATGCTATAGATCTAAAAGTGAATTTCGATTCATCAATAGTTGGATGTTTGTCAACATTGTAAAGCACCAAACATGTCAGTCCCGGGGCCTGGTGGAGCCAGTCTTCGCCCATTCCCGGGTCGACTGGATGGGAACCAGCCAAAATAGACCATTTGTTAATAGGGAATCTAGGATTGTTTTCACGGCGATGATAATTCCCCTCGGAAAATAGCATCCACAAAGTGATATAGGTTGGTTTATGAGCCGGTCTAACAAGTTAGAGTCATCAACATGAAGCCCATAGAGTTCCGAAGCAACTTACGTATCATCAATCAACTATCAATATCCCATTCCTGCTCATCTAAATTCCCATCTTTCATATTTACCCCAAACCATGGGTTTATTCTTGGATCCCCATATTCTCCATGTCCCCAGATTTCCACATTTTTGGACCTTCCCAGGTCCTCGGTCGGTCCTCGGTCCCCAGATTTCCCTACGCCGCAAGGATCGCTTCGGCATCTCCCCGTTGCGCATCGCAGCAGCACGGGGGCACCTGGAGGTGGTGCAACGGCTCTGCAACGCCAGGGCCGAGGTGGATCAAGCGGATTTGGAAGGCCCGGGAAAGCCATGGCAGCCATGGTAGTGGAGGTCAAACGTATCAAAATTTGGGGGTTGAATCATGTTGAAAATTTCCACAGATTATGATCCACAGAAGATGGTAGTAAGCTCAAATATGTTCATGTCATTGTTTTATATCATTTGAAAATATTTGAAATATTTTTTTGAGGTATTAGAATAGCAATCTTATTAATCATCATCATCATTTATAATATTTCAATATTTTATAGTTATTTTACACGATTGTGACATCATGCATGACATCATGCAACAGTAACATGTAGGGATGCCCAAAATGACGCGGAAACGTGTTTTCGAGATGTGAACTAGATGATGTTCCTAATCATAATCTCAATAGGTGCCATGCGTTTGAATTTTAGGGATTGCTATATAATGTAATGCATGATTTAACAATAGGAGTATATTTTTAGACAAGTAGGATGACTTAACAAAAAAGGGAATTAATGGGAAGTTAGTGGGAAATTCATGGGAATTCAATGAGAATTCATGGGATCAATGGGAATTATCACTTCCTGCACGAATCAAAACTAGAAATATTGAAACTGGAGAGTTGACCACGCAAACATTGCAGAAATCGAGTCATGGGTCAGAGTTTGTCTCATGGGACCACTGACTTGGGAGAAAGATGTGGAGATTTTTTGTTCTTGGACGAACAGAATATGTGAGTCTTCAGGACGGTCGGTCAAGTTCGGTCAACTTCCAGAAATTAAGTTCCCATGAAATCTGAAATCTGGGCCAAAACGCTACAAATATAGCAGCTATTATTTATATGCACCAAGGGGAAGATGAATGTCATGATGAGTCTGCTTGCCACATGGGTGTTCCTGCTAATTACAGTACCCTGTTCAACTCGTGGTGTTCCCATTCAAAATGAGCAATACTCGTAGCTTGGACAAGTGTGGGGTCCCCCACTTTAAGAAACCACAGCTTTTAGTGGCTGCAGAACATGTCGAAATCCCAAGAATGGATTATGATAATTCAAAGTATATTGGGTAGATTTGGATAATGCACCTCTCTAAAGTAACCAGTCAAAATCAATAACCTATATAAGATAATGTATTTCAAATAAATAAATTATATATAAAGATAATGTGGTAACTATGATTCCCTCGAAAGGTGAAAACACCAAGCAGTTCGAGTTTTGAGTCACTGCCCAACACGGCAAACACGTCACGACACGCTGGCAGGGCACACGCCACTCTGGATGGCGTCAGGTGTTGGACAGAGCAAGGTGCGGATTTTTCGCTTCACCTGGGGATACAGTGACAGGACGGTTCCCAAGCTGGTCTTACAACCAAATCTAGCTGGTTGGTGGTTTGGAACCATGGATTTTTATGACTTTCCAGAAACAGTTGGGAATAAGACTGTTAATAATCTATAATTGGGATATTAATGGTGATTTAATAGGGATATTAATGGTGATTTAATGGTGATTAATCCTCTGGTAATGGAATATAAATGGCTGGTTGGTGGTTTGGAACCATGGAATTTGATGACTTTCCAGAAACAGTTGGGAATAAGACTCCCATTTGACGAACTCATATGTCATATTTTTCAGAGGGGTAGGCTCAACCACCAGCTAGATTATTAATCATTATTAACCATATAATAACCATAATTAACCATTATTAATCACCATGAACCATCATCAACCATTAGGTATACCACCAACCAGATTATACATACCCCTAAACGGTAGAGGTATAGTCCCCTGGTCCCGAGGTGCGGATCCTGTGGGGATCAGGGAGTTTCCACCCGCCTTCAAGGTGGTTGACTATTTGATTAGCATCAAAGCTGACATGGAGCCCGCGTCGGGTTGGGGCGCCGGGCTGGGCCGGGCCTGCAAGGTTTATGATGGTTTAACTCACGGTATATATGCCCGGATGCCCTGGTGAAATTTTAGCAATCAAAAAAGGTATATATAGTATATCATGCAGTCATGGCACTGCAAACCAGTTCTGAAGTCAGTGATACTTCCATTTCTGGAATGATCACCCCATCCATAACCATTTGTCACTGGTCAAGGGCCACAGCTGTTTCCAGGTGTAATGGTCCCTCGATGTTTTCCCAAATTCGACATCAAACTGGATTTGCTGTTCCACTTCCACTGGGATGATTCCTGAGCTTGGTCAAAATATTGGTAGCTGCTTCACATTCTATATGAATCATATATGAATCATATATCTTATATTTCCTAGTTCTTAGGAGGTTATATTCCAGCCAGTTGGCAAGTTGGTATCCATGAATCCGAAAAACTTTAAGAACCATGCCCTAAAATTTTAAAAATTGCACCAATGACTATAGGCTAGCGTGAAGAATCGAACCCAAGCCACCAGTGAAAACATTCAGGTATAGAACAACAACCCTATTATTAGGGATTCGTACAGATCATGAAGGTGATTGGGCACAGCCTTATAGATATCATAAATCATGAATCCCACATTAATTTATTGATATAGAATTATGAACTTAAAAAACAACATTAAATCAAATGCAACTATTAAAAAACCTTACTATGAAAAATTGGTTTGATATTGGTTTATACATCACCAAACATGCGAATCATCAATACTTGAAATATACTCATGCAAAAAACAAACACATAAACTAGGCATGACTGGTGGTCCCAAAATTTGGCATCACCTCTAGTAACCCCCCAAAAGAACACAGAACAGTAAATGATCCCTATATATATAGTATAGGATGTTATAGGATGTTATTTTCCCTATTTATTTGGGTTTCACATAATAACATCCCTATATTATCCCATCATATATAACATCCCTATCTAATATGCTCCATGGTGCTGGAATATTTACAATATTTACCAACATTTGCCCTAAAAATCACCCAGTTTTGTAGGTAAATATACCATAGAGCGTATGGGTATCTAATAATATCTTTACTATCCCATAATATATCTTTATTATCCCATAACATATAATCATATATATATAACATCCCTATCTGATAAAGGATATTCCAGACCCACCTGCGTTTAAGATTCAAACGACTAAAAACCGGGGATGCCCGGCCTCGGCCTTTCCAGGACCGCCGGGACTTCTCGGGTGACACGGCCTTGCGCACCGCCGCGGCGCGGGGACACGAGGAGACGGTGCAGTGCCTGGTGGCCAAACGGGCGGATCTGATGCTTGGTGGAAGGACAAGATGTGCGTGGATAGAAATCGTTGGTAACCTAAATAAATAGTGAGTTTTCCCATTAAAAAATTGGTGATTTTCCATAGTTATGTTAGTTATAGCCATGGAACATCACCATGTTTAATAGCTAAATCATCTATATTATCTATAAAGGGTCCATTTTCCATAGCTATGTTAGATTACCAGACGGTAAGCCATGTTATTTTCATGTGGATAAAACCGGTTTGTCATAAACCATCCCTGAGGTGGTCGTCACCATTTTTACTTTCGTGGGATTCAAACCATTCGCAAATGGCTGGTTTACTACAGTTTTGGCCATTCATTAGTTGTAACTGGTTATTTCAATGGAATAACAAACAATCTATAAATGGGGTTATACGTACTTATAACTGGTAAAGGGCCATAACTGTATCGTTTTACGAATGATAGCATTGTTGATGACACTAGCCATCATATGATCGATGGCTAGGTAGATCTTAGATGAACCTAGTATAATCACCATATGGTTCTCGATAATCCCATACCAATAATACCATTGTTGGATATTGTTGATTGGGTATGAGATGGGGATGATACTAGCTGGTTTTATGGGGATTATTACACCATATTAGAAAGCATCATAAGAATAAATGTTGATATTCACCAATCAAGATTGGGATATGTGTTTAAGTTTCTCGGATATGCTGAAGATGATGTTGGGGAATCTACTGGGAAGCTACTGTACTAAGTATAGTGATTTATTTACCACTTTTGACTGCAGACTCCGAATGAAGTACGTGTATATCGTGGGATACAATGAAATCGACACCTTGCTACTAAGCATGTACAAACTTTGCGGATCCCGCTTCGTATCCAGGGCATCATTTTGGTGGATGGAAATATCCGTGACTCATGGGGAAGCTAACAACGGTAAAAACTGTGAGCTGGAAGATCCCACTTCCACAACTTATCGCCATATCACGGCAGGTCCTATCCCGCCCTGGAAGCCCAGCACGTTGATTTGGGTGGAATGATGTCAAGATTCATTGGACCATTCTTGATGGTTAAATCACCATACTGTATTATACTGTATAACTGTATAACCCACCATATGACAAGTCTTGGTGTTGGCATGTCTTGACTGTTTTGATTTACATCATTCAACGAAAAACTTGTCGTGTCATTCATTTGAGTTGCTAAAAAAATGCATTTGGTTGATGAACTGTGTTCCTTTTTCTACTCAATAGATGATTATGCGTAAAATCCATGGTGGGAAACTTCATCAACCAACTTAACGGAGTGTCCAATGGTTGTTTCGACACTGCTCAATTCCAGTTGCAACTGAGGAACCTTCCTGGGAGTAACTCGGCTACAGGCTTTGGCGGCGAGTGGAGCATTCCAAAGCGCCCTTATTTTTTCCATTCTGGGAGCATCACCCGGTATCCCGGAAGTGTATGGCTAGTAACTGGGTTCCAACAGAGTTACCCTCTGGTAATTTAACATAGCTATTGAAAATGGCCATTTATAGTGAGTTTTCCCATGAAAAATGGTGATTTTCCATAGTTATGTTAAATTACCAGAGGGTATCTGGGTTGTTGTTTCCAGCTGGATCCTTGCGATGGATACTTCGGGATCACATGGCCATATCCCAACGTCATTTCGTAGCCATCGATTCCAACTTCAGGGATCTCATCTCCGACACGGTATAAATGTTTTTAACCCACCATCAAGCCAAATAAATTCAGTTCATATTTCAATACAATCCCTATATATATATATGATATAGGCTGCGCCATCGCTTGGCACTCTTGCCTTTGCATCGCCTATACCTCTCTGAAGGACTTGGCAGAAGCAAAAGCAGTAGTGAGCAAGTTCAAGCTTAGCATCAAGTCAGAGAGCAAGTTAGTTGAAGCGTGGGATAAGGTCAGCTTCCAGTGAACCAAACGTTATTACACCCCACCCCCACCCCACGCCACCCCATCCCACCCCAAGAGCATTTTTCCAGTCGCTCACAACTGACGATTTGAGAGTTCTAAGTGATGTTTGAGAGTGCAAAAAGTGAGCAGTGAGTGCTAAGTGAGAAGATGTGAGAGCGCCAAGTGATGAGGAAGCCTAAAGAATAGATTATACAATTATAACATATTATATAATTAAAATATCTTATATATTACAACTACTATATTACAATGTTAAAATGTTGCATGTTACATCATGTTATTTGTAAATGTGAATTTTCACAACTCATTTCTGCAATACCTCACTGGTTTTCTGAGGAAATGAAACGCCTCCGCTTCTCTCGGCCATCTCCAACGGCCACGAGCGCATCGCGGAGCTTCTCTTAGCCGCCCAGGCGGATCTCCAGCAGTGCGGCTGGTTTGGACGGACGCCGCTGTGGGAGGCGTCCTCCAAAGGTGGGCTGGGAACACGGTGAAACGCTGGGTCCGTGTTTTTTTTTGGCAAAAATCAGAGAAATCTATGGTTTTTTTTTGGGGAAAATGACCAAGAAATCTGGGGGTGATACTGGAAATGACCAAGAAGACATGGAGATTTAGCTGAGAATAACAATCAACTCTGAAAAATGAAATTTATGTAACCATCAAGAATTGTATATGATGTTCAATGGGGATCAATGGGGTATATACTGGGATAATCAATCACGCTTCCTGGACTTGATTATTTTTACATAGGACTGATCTAGATCGGTGAATCTTTGTAGGTTTACCATGTTTCAACTTGCACAATATTGCGTAAATAGTTGATCATTAATTCAAATACATATTTCTTATTCCCATGCGGTTTCCCATCGCAAGGGGGAAGCAGCTCCCAACCCCTATTCATAGTTCCATATATTAAAGTTGAACATTAAACATTGTTTCGCTTACGTAAATAGATATAAAGTTGGGAATCAATATTTAACTTGCGTAAATTGATACCTCGAGCAATGTCAACCCAGGATGTATAACCCCGATGGGTACTATTCATGAAAGGAATAGCCACTATTTCGAGGAGTGGGTCGAAAACTCTAAAATCAATGTGGGTTCCCTCGCAAGCCAAAAATAATCAGGCATTCTTAGAATATCTTAGAATGCTTCGACACCCTTGTGCTGGTTTTCCGCCCAAGTCTAGCAGGCCTGGGTCATCACAAGCTATTTGTATTCCCAGCTAGAGTCGCACAACATGACAGTAGAGGTGCTGCAACTGGGATTGAATATTCCACTTATAATATGCAGTCGTCTGGACCCTGAATTGATCTTTCCCTTAAACAATTTGTGTTTAGGCGATAATGTCATTTACTTTATCCCCTGAGGGTCAGTGCGGCAGCATTTTCGGTGCTTCTTGCTGTCCAGGTTATGTGAAGATGGTCACGATGCTGTTAGAGCAGCGAGCAGATGCCAATCATCAAGACAAGGGCGGCACTACAGCTCTCACCTCTGCTGCAGCAGCTTGGTTAGATGGGAGGGACCGAGGGACCCAGGAATCGTTTCGCTACTGGATGAGTGGATGCTCCATACACAGAATGCGATAGCATGGGGTTATCCATTTAAGCGTTCATGGCCTGTAAGCAAGATTCATGACCCTTTTGTGACGTGGTGCGCATGGACAGGTGTTCGACATTCACCAGTGAGAACCACTTTCAACATCTTTCAACCAGACTTGTCGAACTGGGTGCATCACACTGCAAGAGTGACAACCAACAACAAATTTGCTTTTTGGGTTTCCTGAGTCTCCTGGGACTCCTGGGGCTAGCTTGTTCCTGGTTTCCATGGCTTCCGTGGTTTCCGTGGTTTCCGAAATTTCTTTCTTTCTTTCTTTCTTTCCTATCCACTTCATTCCATGTAGTTGCAGACGACACAAAATTGAAGATGGTGCAATCTTGCAAGGAAAGGCGCCCTTTTACCCTCTGGGTTTGAATGTAGCCTTTCCAGAAAATGACAAAATCAAACGTCCTTTCACATGAATTCACATGATTTATATAATTTCAGGAAGGAATACCATTGGTGTCAGGTTTCTGCCAATTCACCCACCTTCAAGTGCCATTGTTTTTGATGGCGAATCCTCCCTTTAAGATGTTGCTTTACATGATGATCCGCAAATTACACCGATCGATCACCATTTCCCCTATTAAAATGCAACTTTTTTGGGGTTATACATGGTTGTATTATGTTGTATTAGTTACACGAGACCCCATTTTCGGAGACCCCATTTTTTCAGGTCATGGGGTTATGGCCGAGGCACGGGGTTATGTCTCCATCGTCCAGCTCTTGTTGGATGCACTGGCAGATCCATGGCCGGTTGCTGAACAGTGGGGTTGTTACCAGCCAGCCTGTTGAGATTTGGGATTTAACCAGCAAATTGCGGTGAAATAAGTAGAAGTGGTGATTTAAGCAGCAAAACTTGGGATTTAAACACCAATAAGTTGGGATTTGAACAGGAAACATGCGAATATCATCGGATGGACAAGACATAATAAGCGTCACCAAGTCATTCATGATGTTCTTTACCCTGGGATTCAGGGGGAACCATATTCGCAGATCCACATGGCTCAAGTCATTGAGGGGAACTAGCCCTATTTCAGTGCTCATGTTTCGTTACTGATTCTGTGGTTCCAGTGAAGTAGGACCTTCAGAGCAGCCAATCAATGGAGGAATAGCAAACATGGTGGCATGATGAGGCTTTGAATCTTCCTGGTCTGGTGGCACCAACGATCTTCTATGTTCTAGTTGAGCTCTCCCTAGGATGATGGAAGAGTGACTGCAGTGAGATGTAATAGGATCTTCAGACCAATGAATAGATATAAATGGGGTATCAACCAGCAAAAACAGTGTGGAATATGGAGGTATGATGAGGATTATGATTAAGCTGTTCATGGTTCGAGTGGTCTATGTAATTCCAAATGTTGTTTCCCCACCTGCCAGGTGAACAAAGGTGCAAATCCGTTCTTCTTCGCCCTTTCCTCGCCCTTTCCTCTCTGTGATGATCCTATATCGCGAGCGCAGCTGTGGAGAGCACCCCGAACTGCCAGAGAGAAGGCCAGAAAGAATGCTAGAACTGCTAGAATGAATGCCTGAAAAGATGCCAGATAGAATGTCAGAATAGATGCCAGATAGGCAGCAGAAATAATGCCAGAATATATGCCAGAAAAGATGCCAGAGAGAATGCCAGAAAGAATGTCAGAGTATATGCCAGACAGAATGTCAGGATAAATATGCCGTATATACTTCCAGATGATATCTCAATATGATACTGTAATATATGTCAGAAACTATGTCAGAATCGTGTGTCAGGGCGGGGATCACTCGAAGTAAAGTAATTTGTCTATCCCTATCTAGCCTAGGATGACGGTTTTCTGCACAAGTCATTGTGGGGGGAATCCAAGGTGGTCTGTTTTGGAGAGTAGAAACAGATGTTTGGAAAGATAATTTCAAGCGGCATTTTGTCGGCTGCAAATCACGTCCTGGAATCTCTAGTGTAACATTTACTAATTTGGCGGGGAGCGCATCCCAGTTGAAAAGCGGTAGCAACCATATCAAAGCCCGAGTTCCATGGAACATCACCAGTTGTCTGCCTGTTACACATTACACTCCCGGGAACAAACATGTCTCGGGCTACCGTTTCAGGTATCAACTAACATGTCCACTCTGTACCGGCGTTTTCCTAGATTTCCTGGGGAATGCATTGCAACTTTTTTTTGGGACCATTGACCCAAAAACAGCTAACATGTCTCAGTTCCTGCAATGGGTGCCCTTGGATTTCGACCCTGATCTGGGATATGTTCGCTATTCTTGGGGGATAGATTCAGCCAATAACCACTCACATATCTCAAAACCACATCCTCTGAACAACACGGGCACGTTAGGTGGACGCTTTCCATGGCTAGTCATCCAACCCTTAGTAAATGCAACTGGTTTTTGGAATGCACCCCCAATCTTCCTGCCCACCCACGAGCATCATCTACGATGCGCTCTTCCGGAAGGAGTTGGGACACCTTTTTTCTCCACCGTTTTGTTATCAATGCGGTCTTTGATTTGAGCCCTATTGGGGTCTGGAAATAAGGATGCTGGGGCGTCCGGGGCGGTAGTCTTCTGGCAGTTTCCCGGGAACCCCCAGAGGGGGGGACAACTTTTCCACTAACATGTCCATTCTGGATTTTCACCTAACATGTCTCAAGTATAGGGCATTTATCATAGCCTATGTTCACAGCAGCTAACGTATCCAAAAAACAAATTACAAAAAAAGGGGATACGTGTCTCGGGCTACCGTTTCAGGTATCAACTAACATGTCCACTCTGTACCGGCGTTTTCCTGGATTTCCTGGGGAATGCATTGCAACTTTTTTTGGGACCATTGAGCCAAAAACAGCTAACGTGTCTCAGTTCCTGCAATTGGGGCCCTTGGATTTCGACCCTGATCTGGGATATGTTAGCTATCTTTGGGGGATAGATTCAGCCAATAACCACTCACATATCTCAAAACCACATCCTCTGAACAACACGGGCACGTTAGGTGGACGCTTTCCATGGCTAGTCATCCAACCCTTAGTAAATGCAACTGGTTTTTGGAATGCACCCCCAATCTTCCTGCCCACCCACGAGCATCATCTACGATGCGCTCTTCCGGAAGGAGTTGGGACACCTTTTTTCTCCACCGTTTTGTTATCAATGCGGTCTTTGATTTGAGCCCTATTGGGGTCTGGAAATAAGGATGCTGGGGCGTCCGGGGCGGTAGTCTTCTGGCAGTTTCCCGGGAACCCCCAGAGGGGGGGACAACTTTTCCACTAACATGTCCATTCTGGATTTTCACCTAACATGTCTCAAGTATAGGGCATTTATCATAGCCTATGTTCACAGCAGCTAACGTATCCAAAAAAAAACACAAAAAAAAGTGGATACGTTTGTTCCCTAGAGAGTATGACTTGAAACCTGGCAATCAAAAAAACGCATCTAGTGGCACATGGAATACCTACCCGGCCTATCCCTATTTTAGATGGTTAAAGCATGTCAAACCCCAATGTTTGGATGGTTGAACCCCCGGGCAAACCTCAGGACCAGAACCGTTCCGACGAGCGCGGCCAATCTCCCTTGATCGCCGCCGCGTCCTTCGGGCAGCGCGAGGTGGTGCAACGCCTGTTGCAGGCGCTACGGCTGGACCGGAGATCAAGGGATACAGAGTACTGTTGAAAACCACTGGTGGTTGATGGTTATAGTTTTAGTCAGCTATTTATATAATAGTATTTGATATCGATATCCTATATTATTTAACATGATTTAATGTTATTTGATATCTTTAATAGGTGTTTACCATCAAAATATATAAGTGCGATATATCATAATACAACAACTGTTCATTTCTTTGGCCATTGAAAAATGGTGAGAATTATGTTATGAATATTCTGCATATCAATTCTGAGGTTTTGGTGCACGCAATTTTTCAAAAACATATCTGGGACAGAATGGATTGGGTTGCCATGCCCTTCGAGTTGTGTAGTTTTTTACGCGGATTTAGATGGCATATCGCTTGCTAATTAAAGGTTGAACTTGGAGCAGGCTTCAGCAGAAAGACGGAGAGTAAAACAAACTGTAGATCTGTAGTTAATATTTAATGTCGCTTCATGTGGTCATGTTTTTAAGGGGTTGGAATTCTTGATCTCCAATGTGGATGTTTGTGCTTTAGTATGACAGACTACCTAGTGTCGGTGCAGCTATGGTCTTGGCATCAAATAACGGTTGTTTGTGGCTCCAAACCTGAAGACTTGAGAAAAGTTCCTTGCCATCATTGGGGCGTGACAATAATAATCATTTAGGGGTGATCCTGTTTAGAGCATTCTATAGCAATATTATGCCATGCTTGTCTTAACATTAGTATAGAGTGTTATACTGATTTGCTTTGCTGTCTAGCATGATCATTCCACCATTACGGCATGCTTAGATCAGATGTCACCAGATGTTATCCTACTATATCCCATTATATCACCATGTGTCTTGGTTAAATCTCCATTATATCCACATGTGTCCTAATTAAATATAGTTAAATATCATTTGTTTCCCTGGTTAAATCACAAGGGTTCCCATTTTTCCCAGCTAAAAACACAATTTTTGCTACGTAGTTAAACTAGTTAAACATCATATTTTCTCAACGACCCCCCCTTTCTTCAGGCCCGCGCAGACCAAGCGCCCAGCGAACGTGCCACGGGGCACACGGCGCTGCACGCCGCGGCGGATGCGGGGCATCTGGAGGTGCTGCAGTGCCTGCTGGAGTCGCGGGCGGAAACTGGGTTGGTCAGTGGATGGAGATGTCAGCAATTGGGATATTAATAGCAACCAATTGATGAATTACAATCGGTGATATAATCCTCCTATATTGGTGTTGGAAATTGGTGATTAATATCAACACTATTTCAGCAATTGGGATTAATCAACTACTACATTACAAATGGATGTAATTGATATAATCCTCCTATAGATGTCAAAAACGTTAATGAAAAGGGTCACGTTAATGTTAATGATAATATTGATGATGACGGTGATGATAGTAATGATGATAATGCTAATGATAAGGATAATGATAACGATGTGGATGTAGAATGTCACCAACTATTTTCCTGTACTTGGTGCCAAAGATGATTTATTGGGATATTATATATATATAACATGTTTTGTGTTTTTTTGAATGGGATATAACTGTATATAAATAATATATCTGGATTTCATGGGATTTTACAATGAACAATGGTGATTGAAGGGGAATTTGATGGAATGTCACCGTCAACAAACATTTAATATCATGGTCCATGGATACATTCTGTGCCAACACACTCACCGATTCTACGCAAATAAGCAATGGTATTTGGGTTCAAATGTCAACTAATGCCACTATATAACATAGCTGAATGGAATATTTTTTTTTGGGGGTACTGTAATTTTGAATCAATAATTACGCATGATATAATACAACTATGGGATAATATCTTTTTGTGTATTATCATCTATTCATATTGAATGGTTTGTGGATATTGGTGCTAACATTCAAATGCTTGTCCGTAGCCTGGTGAATAGGAGATGTATTCCATGCTGTGGTGTTTAGGTAGTTTATTCAAGTATTGATGGATTCAGATGGTGGAATGGATGGAAAAATTGGTGTTAGGCCTTAAGTTAATTATTGTCATCTATTCCACTTACCGGTTTCCATGGTTGGGATTATATCCATAATAACATTGCGATAGTTGTATATAATGCCAGATAAGAGATGGAATTGTCCTGACAATTGGATTGTCATTGAACATAGTGGGATTATATATCATACACAATATAGGTATTTTAGTAACGGATTTTGACACCATTAAGATGGAATAAATAGGATTGATAATTTGACAGCTATCCTAATGGCAGTGGATTCAATGGGATAGTGTAGCAGATTTCAACTGGGTTTGATAATGGAACTACTACTTAGATGAGCAATAAAAACACTTGCGAGTACTGGAATAATGGGAACAATGGAATAATCATGCCGTATTCCATTTCAGATAATAATGGATCTTAACAATGGTATCAATAGTATCTAACACGATATGTTCATGGGACTATATTATAGTACCAACGAGACTTAATAGTGGGACAAGAACACTTGATTCTATTGCCATAGATGATTTGGAATGAACAATGATGTGTAGTCGTTTCTATATACCTACCATTTGAATATTGAGCAAAACCCTGGTGCCTATTGTGATCCCAATCATAGATTTTAACACTGGAAAATTCATGAAATCTCTGTAAGACGACTATAGCGCGAATTAATTTAAGAATTTGTACGTCACCGATGAATAATGAATGCCTGCACTATGGGATAGATGAAAATACCATGGTACTGATTGGGTTATCAGTCAATATGTTTATATTCTATTTTAAAAAGTGATTATCATAAGTTTCCTGATATCCCAACAAACTAGTACAATGGGTATGGTAACTGTATATATTTATATATATATGTGTATATATATATATATATATATATATATATGTGTGTGTGTTCATCATGGTCATCCAACAATCATCCCATGATATAATATCTCCATTCTAATCCAATAACTTCCCAAATTGACCATTGGATTATACCACAAAGCACCATGTTTTACCACATTTCCAACTAGACTACAATACTTCTCCCATAGCTACCATATATTTACCATATTTGTTCCACAAAACATCCAGTTTTACCCACAATTCCCAGGACCGACATCTCAGCGATCGTCAGAACCGCACCCCCTTGATGCTGGCCGCGGCGGCGGAGCATCGAGACATCGTCCGAGTGCTGGGCGACGAGGCGGCCGTAGATGTCAAGAAACGGACGGTGGCTGCGGGGTGGCTGGGTTTGAAGTTCCACAATTTCTAGAAATGGTGGTTTAACCGGATTATTGTGGTATTGTATAATGGGATTATAGTGGTATAATGGGATTAGAATGGGATTAGAATGGATTAGAATGGGATTATAGTGGGATTATAGTGGGATTTACAGAATGATAGATGTAACCAATACTGACCAAAACCTTTACCTTCCAGTAAACCCTGTGATAGGGAACTGGCAGGAGATTTTGCCTTGTGATTTTGTATGTTGGTGTTAGTTAATGTTAGTTACCTATCTGACATCTAACTGGAAGGTGAGGGATGGAGATTGAAGATGAATTAGCCACTTGATTCTGGTTGATAAACGTTGATATATAGATTCTTGGGACGGAAACTACAAATTGAGGATATGATAAATCATGGTCTTGCATCGTTCATTTCTATAAATTGTTGAATGTTGTGTATGGGCTTGTTCTCGGATCTTTCATTTGGTTAGTCATAGTCATCATCCACCCCAAAATCATATTGATCGGTGAATTTCATTGTGTTACAACAGCTGCTGTAGTTTGTAGTTCAGGACGAACATGTTGTTTCTGATGTGGATTTAGGTTGTTTTCTGATGTAGGAAAGACGCGAGCCAAGAGACCGTTTCCTTGGGGCGGGCTGGTCATGGATTGTCAGCTATTTGATCTTTATGTATTCTTATCATGCATTGGTGCAAAGGGGTCATATAGAGTCATATATGTCAATAGCAATGTTGAACACAATAGAAATAACACAAATTCCCTCTGCAGCTTTGGGATGCGTTCTTGCGCCACGTGTGCTCTGTTTGGCAGGCAGATAATTCTTCACATTGCCTCAAAAAGGCCAGACGAGACGAGAAGTTGTGAAGAGAAAATGTGGCGTTGAGCCGCCGGCTGGGTCTCAAAAAGTGTTTCTGAGAGGATCCAATCAAGCACCAGTCCCTTTGGAAAATTTACAGTAGAATCAAAAGACATGGCATTGATGCCGTTTTAGAATTGTATACATGTTCCGTACAGTTCTTGTAAAATCATGGCAGCATTTGTTTGTACCACATGTTCAAGACTGTTTGTAAAATGACTGTGTCTTCAATTATCTTTGCAATATGACCTTCAATTATCTTCCATAACTGATTGGTGGTTTGGAACATTTGGATTATTTTCCATATATTGGGAATAAACATCCCAACTGACTCATATTTTTCAGAGGGGTAGGTATACCACCAACCAGATCATGTTTGGTCTTCAAAAGTTTTTCTTTTCACTTCAAACGCTCCCGCTCGCTGCCAAGGTCACGGTCTTCATGTTGCTTAAAAATCGAGGAGCTGGTCCTAGCAGGTCAGAGTTGACTTTTGGCTGTTTTTGGGCGACCTGACGACTTGGGAAATGAAGTGAAAACCAGCCCAAAAATGAAAGGTGGGAAACCAAAGATCAACTTTGGGCTGACATTCTTTGATTGCGGGAAATTCTGAAGTAAAACCCGTGGCATCCCATGGCATTCTTTTAGGAGGGTTTTTTGTTGTGCTTCCGCATGGTTTAGCCTCGTATCAGCACTGTGGAGACAGAGGGCTTGTCCCACAAAGCGGTGTTTTGTCAATCACCAAAAACCATGCGAGTGAAGCAAAGTCAATTGTTTTTGGAGTCGTTCAAAAAAGTTGGGAAAATTGGCTTCGAAGTGCTGAGTTCTTCTGACTTTTTCCAGGTTTCTCGGATTGTTTCATGACTTTGCACCCCCAATTTGCGAGAAATCAATAACCAGATTTGGTTGGGTTATGGGACAAACTTCTCCTGCCAAATGTTGCAAGATCACAAACCCACTAATGATCCTAGAGTGTTGCTATGCTTGGAGGGTTTGCTAAGTTTAATCGTAAGGTAAGGTATGGTTCCTTGTTACACTTACCAAACTATCAGATCCATACAGTAGTAACATCCAAAATATAGAAATCTAAAAAATCTACTAGAAATGTATGTGTATATATATATATATATACACATTATATATATATATATATGACAGAATTGTATTTGTTTTTGGGGCTTATATTAGACCGAGCCCTTCCCAAAGCGATGTATGTTTCCATCATCGCCAGGGGAGGAGCGGCATCGATTCCATTCAAGGTGCTGGAATTTCTTGGGGAAAACATCATCGAACAAAGAGGCTGCAAGAAAAAGTGTGAAAAACTATCTTCTTGGGGATGTATATATGTATTATATATATATATACATTTGAATCTGCGTCCAGTAAGTTGGAATTGAGCATTTTTGAAAAATTGGAGCCGCTCTCAGAGTGGATTGAATATGTTTGCATGATTAGGTTCAGTGAGTACAACAAGACTCCCAACTTTTATGGGTTTTACACAGCTGCTGGTGCCTCATTTTCTAGCCGTATCAACATTGTTTTTGCAGAATAGGCAGTTGCTATGGCTATACGCTCATTACTTGGCTGGAAACCCCACGCCACAAGCCATGTTGTGCTGATCCACCAGCAAACGTCACGCTGATTGAAACTTAACAATATCCATGGGACCTTGGGATAGTTTGTGATATGTTGCATATTTGATTGTAGTCTAACAAATCAACTACAATATGATTGTTGATATTATACTACAAATATTAACAATCAAATATTTGATATTAACAATCATACAATCATATCTGGAGTACCGAATCAACCTCTGAAGTTCGAACTGTTGATCCCGCTGAGCTGGCTACAGGTGTGGAGATGCGACGCGATGCGACGATGTCGCCCACGTATGGCTCGTAGAATCGACTGTTCGCTGAGATGGCTCTGCCACGGAATCTTGGGAAATGCCCGGCCATGGGAACCGATCAGCCGCTAGGTGGGTGGAGAAAGACTCAGAAAGACTGAACAAGGCACAGCATTTTTGATATATAATATGTATATAATATGTATATATGGTTCCGAATTTTTAAGACTCAGCTAGATGTGTTTGATTTTGCACAGATTGATCTGTCGACACCCAACAGACCCAAATCCTCGGCGATCGAATCTTGATAGAAGACCCCGGGCTCCGCTGAGCGTAGATTCAGATGAGATCAAGCCTGTCACGTTGGCGCTGACAAACACGTTCCCTCTAAGACTTAAGAAAAAGGTGCTATGCTGGTCTGAAGATTCCCAAAGTTCAAACCATTTCAAACCTGTTTGGAGGGCGTTTCTAATATTGCAGTATCTTGCAACCCAGTTCGTTGCGAGATTGCCATGTTGTAGGGATCAACATTTAAACTGTTGATTTATTAAGCTGCTGATTGTTTCATGTCATTAATATTCTCGGTGTTTCCCCTCTTTCCCAGACTTAGAGTATATATCCCAGTATTGAAAAGATACACAGCCGTACGATTTCAACTAATCAATCCTGATTTCACAATGCCCTGTCAAAGCGACAACTACGAAAGCCACTTCCTGGACATCCACCTCTTCTCTTTGTTCTGTTGGGAGGCTCGGGGACACTTTCTTCAGCCAGATTGCATAGTCGTCAGAACCATGGGATCTGGTGTTTTGTCATGCACCAGCTTTGAATTTGCAATTCCACTGGGAGTTCTCCCTTTTCATCAGCATACCTTGGCTCATTGACAGAAATTTAGAGACATCTCAGTGACACGACTAGCTGCAATGTCGTCCGAAGCGGCTGGAAATTTGCCTGGGCCTAGCGCAGACCGTGACTATTCGTGGGTCACGTATCGAAGGGGCAGCGAAAGGTACAACAACAAAAGTGACTCTGTGCTGAACATGATGGCTCCGTTTTTGAACACGATGGTACGGATGGAAGCCAAGATGGACGACTATCCCCAAAAGGTGACTGAAAAGCTCGACAGTATGGAGTGCTTGAAGACATCGGAGGAAAAAAAATCAGAAGGTCGACCAGTTGCCCCAGAAAATGCTTGACACATCCACGCCGGACAAGTTGGATGGCATCATGGAGAAGGTCGAGCAGATGTCACAGAAGATGATTGACACATCCATGCCGGACAAGTTGGATGGCATCATACAGAAGGTCGACCAGTTGCCCCAGAAAATGCTTGACACATCCACGCCGGACAAGTTGGATGGCATCATGGAGAAGGTCGAGCAGATGTCACAGAAGATGATTGACACATCCATGCCGGATAAGGTGGATGGCATCATACAGAAGGTCGGCCAGTTGCTCGAGAAAATGCTTGACACATCCACGCCGGACAAGTTGGGTGGCATCATGGAGAAGGTCGAGCAGATGTCACAGAAGATGATTGACACGTCCATGCCGGACAAGTTGGATGGCATCATACAGAAGGTCGACCAGTTGCCCCAGCAAATGCTTGACACATCCACGCCGGACAAGTTGGAGGAGATCATGCAGAAGGTCGAGCAGATGTCACAGAAGATGACTGACACATCCATGCCGGACAAGTTGGATGGCATCATACAGAAGATCGGCCAGTTGCTCGAGAAAATGCTTGACACATCCATGCCGGACAAGTTGGATGGCATCATGCAGAAGATCGAGCAGATGTCACAGGAGATGATTGACACATCCATGAGGGACAAGTTGGATGGCATCATGGAGAGGGTCGAGCAGATGTCACAGAAGATGATTGACACATCCATGCCGGACAAGTTGGATGGCATCATGGAGAAGGTCGAGCAGATGTCACAGGAGATGATTGACACATCCATGAGGGACAAGTTGCATGGCATCATGGAGAAGGTCGAGCAGATATCACAGAAGATGATCGACACATCCATGCCGGACAAGTTGGATGGCATCATACAGAAGGTCGACCAGTTGGCCCATCAAATGCTTGACACATCCACGCCGGACAATTTGGATGGCATCATGGAGAAGGTCGAGCAGATGTTACAGAAGATGATTGACACATCCATGCCGGACAAGTTGGATGGCATCATACAGAAGGTCGACCAGTTGCCCCAGCAAATGCTTGACACATCCACGCCGGACAAGTTGGAGGAGATCATGCAGAAGGTCGAGCAGATGTCACAGAAGATGACTGACACATCCATGCCGGACAAGTTGGATGGCATCATACAGAAGATCGGCCAGTTGCTCGAGAAAATGCTTGACACATCCATGCCGGACAAGTTGGATGGCATCATGCAGAAGATCGAGCAGATGTCACAGGAGATGATTGACACATCCATGAGGGACAAGTTGGATGGCATCATGGCGAAGGTCGAGCAGATGTCACAGAAGATGATTGACACATCCATGCCGGACAAGTTGGATGGCATCATGGAGAAGGTCGAGCAGATGTCACAGAAGATGATTGACACATCCATGCCGGACAAGTTGGATGGCATCATACAGAAGGTCGACCAGTTGCCCCAGAAAATGCTTGACACATCCACGCCGGACAAGTTGGATGGCATCATACAGAAGGTCGACCAGTTGGCCCATAAAATGCTTGACACATCCACGCCGGACAAGTTGGATGGCATCATGGAGAAGGTCGAGCAGATGTGAAAGAAGATGATTGACACGTCCATGCCGGATAAGTTGGATGGCATCATACAGAAGGTCGACCAGTTGCCCCAGAAAATGCTTGACACATCCATGCTGGACAAGTTGGAGGAGATCATGCAGAGGGTCGAACAGATGTCCCAGAAGATGCTTGAGATATCCATGCCGGACAAGTTGGAGGACATCATGCAGAAGGTCGAACAGTTTCCCCAGATGCTTGACACATCAGTGGTGGAGAAATTGGAATTCACCACGTGCAAGTTGGAGCACTCCATGGAGAGGCTTGGATGCTCGGAATCCATGAGCCAGCCATATAACAGGAAAGGTTGGGGTTCGATTCCAACGCGGGCAAGAGTGCCTTGGATTGGAAGACTTTGAAGTGCCCCTGAGCATGAGCGTGGCCTGTTTCCAGGCACTTGTTCAGAAAACCCTTTTAAAGCTAATTCCTGGACATGGTATGCACAATTTGCTTGGAGGCAAATTTCGTGGAGGACAACGAATTCTTTGCAACTGAAATGCAACCTTGTCCAGTGCTGGAGTTGAGTACAACAATGGCACCAAGTCCATCTTGTATTGCCAATATTAAATACTCTTCACAGTGAAATCTCGCACAGCTGGCAGATAGAGAAATTGGCCCGCTTGAAGTTTTGCTCACTGCCTCGGTCCTAGGTTGAATATGTATAGTGTGAGCAATCTCATCTCAATTTTGCATCTTCCGGAAGTGCTTTCAGCCAGAGTTTGGGAAGATTGCTTTGGGATTCTTTAGACTTGACAGGTTCGGCTTACAGCTTTCTGCTCTATTCAGTCGATACAATTTCTGTCATTGCCAGTTAGTAGTCGGATACTGTAACATTGCAGAATTGTTTCTTCGAATGATATGACATTATGATATGGTTGGAAGTTGGAGCCCATGTTTCTTCTCAATCACCTTGAAAGCTACTGTTAGGGACTCAATACCATACCCGCAGAAGCTTCAAGAAACTCACTAGAATGTAACCCTGCAACACTTGATGCACTCTAAAAAAGCAGATGTTACAGATGCTGTTTTGTATTCTTTGCCATCACTGCTGGATCATTCGAAGGTTTCGACATAAAAACATGCAGATCTTGTCCCAGTGATTTATCACTCTGTCTTGGCATGGAGAAGCCACAAGAGTGTGTAGTTTACAACTTTCTGTATTTGAATGTACGTTGCGAACTCCCCTTGTGGCAAAAGTGATGTAATGCACTTCATGTTTCAGGTTGCCATCTTATTTTCCTTACAACGGACGCATGTGTACCATTCATCCTACCCCCACACATCATGCCATATCATGTCATAGTTTTGTGCTTATCAGCTTTCCGTGACAGGTACAGTTTGAGATTTCATGGCAGTCGCTGTCATTCATATCACGCCCACTTCACTTCAATCTATCAACAAAATAACGAGCATTCCATCCTTTAGATAACACTGTGCACTAGCAGTACACCACTAACGATTGTTCAAGCTCAAGAAATAACAAATGCAGCCGTGTAGGCAACGAATTGATTGCCACAACTGATTGCAGGTTCACTCCAAAGCCCAAAGCTGAAACCGATGCAGATGACTTCCCCAACTATGACTAATTATAACTAGACATGTATGATTCCTACAAATCGAAATCTATGTTTCCCAAAGGGTAACCATGGCCATAAACGCGCCATCCTACGACCACCAAGTCCTCCGCTGGATGGGTGTCCGTGGTGCCAAGCCAATGGCGGAGCCCGCGTTCGAATCCGTGGTGCGGCTGTGGTGTGTTTCTGCAGCTTGGTGGAGTTCCTGTGGCCATGGGTCCCAGGGAGTTGTTGATGTTTTGTTTCCCGAATGGGTGTCTGGGGGTTGAGGGTGTGTTCGCTCGACGTTGCGTTTACGTCCGCAACCATTCGCAACTGTCCGCAACCGTTCGCGTGAGGGCCGTATGGCCGTGCCTATGGTAAGTTCTGCAAAAGGGATCACTTTTGGATGTTTCCAGCGTTGCGTAGCTACGTTTCGCGTGGCAGGCGTGGCACTTCGTGACATTCAGACGTGTTTCGTCGTACTGTGTCGATGCAGGCGCAATACTTCTGCGTCGTTTTCACAAGATGCGTTGCACTTGTCGTGGCAGGCGCAACACTTTGGTGACCTCCATCGTCACTTTGCGTGGCAGGCGTAGCACTTTAGACGTGTCGTGTTGCGTGTTTTTTGCGAATCGCATTGTCAGGGCTGCGTCAAGTGGCGACAAGCCCAAAAGCTCTGGTTAGGCTAATTCCTGCCTATTAGGTTATTTGAGTTTTTAAGGTTAAATTCTATCTTTTAGGTTATTTCATGTTCTGTCTTTTAGGTTGTTTGCCTGTTTGCCTAAATAGTTTATTTAGCCCAATAACCTAAAAACTGTCTTGTTTGAGACTTTGTTTTTTTTTCACCAAACTATATTTTCAACAGTTTAAACCAAAGACACAGTTTTTTTTCCATATTTGTTTCCTTTGGATTTTTTGAATTACATGTCTTTTTGGCAAATAGTTTTTCAAATGTTTCTTCATTGTTTTGTGAGTGATGTATGTCGCTTTCTTTTGATATATGCGGGTCTGAAGTGATTTTTTGTGCTAAAGTGAAGCCTTTTGTGCTAAAGTGGATCTGTAAATTTCAGCCGGATATGTTTAGGATGGGGCAAGCCAACACAGCATGGAAGCAACAAAACCACATGTCCAAAACAATATATGAGCAAATGGGTGTGTTTCAACATGAAGTGTCCTTTTTTGACCCCAAAATGGTTACGTTGAAGGGAAAAAAGGTCACCACATTTTCAGACATACCGAAACAAGAAAAAAAATTTGTTTTGCAACAATGGCAGTGGATAGTTTTTGGGAGCGCCAAGCCAGCACAGGATGAAAAAAGAAAAACACGAAGAAAAATGAAACCAACAAATGCAAAAACAAACAACAACACAAAGTAATAAATCAAAACATGTGAAAACAATTGTCCAAAACCTAACTTGTCAGCTGCATCGTTTATGAAACTCAGAGGAGTTCATGTGAATTCGCGGGTGCTCATTGCTCATGGGTGTTCATGTGTGTTTTTCATTTTGTTTGGCTGCCACCCATTTAGCTTACTCAGTGGGTTTCCATGCCCAAAAAGAAAAATCAAAGTAATTTTTAGTGAGGTTCGCGCGCGCTTTTTGGGTATAAAATGGCTGTCCCCCGGCCCGCGAACCCAACCAAAAAAATAAGTTTAGACACTTGCTGATTGGGTTGGTGGTTTCGTCTCCTGCGCTGCTATTTGGCTGCAAAACCTGTATATACCTTGGTGAACAGATGGAAATCCCCGAGTTCTTGGTCAGCTTGGACTCGATGGTTATTTGTTTGTTTTCAACATAAATTTGGGGCTAGAGAACCCCAAATCATTGGCACACCCTGGTTTTGAAGGTTTTTTTGAAATCAACTTGAACGTTGGCCAGTAACAGATTCATAAATAAAAGCTGTCAAGACTGGAAGGTTTTTCACTTGTAAGAAAGTAGTGGCAAACACAAAATGTTTGAAGAATTGCTTGGTGAGGACTGGTTGAGTTGTATTCAAGTTGTTTTTGCAAAAACTAAACGGAGCAATCCAGCCAAGACTTGATCAATCACTAAGAGGGCCTCCATCCCTCAAACCTTTTTACATCAAACACCTGCCCAGAGATTTGCAATCACCTGGGGCTCTCCATTCTTGGCCTTTCTCCCAATTGAAAAACCCAACGAAACCACCAAACAATACAAGTGACTTGAGGTGATCAGCATTCATGTCTTTGAGGCAAGTAAACCCAGAATTTACCCAAAATAAAGAGAAGGGTTGTCAATCCCAGAGCCCACCCATTGCTACGTTTTTTTCCTCAAACCTATTTGCAAGAACATGCAATCCAACCCAGAGTTAATCAATCACTTGGGCCTTCCCATGCAAACCCATTTCCTGAAAATAAATCCAATTGTTTTGCAGTGACTTGGGGCGCTGCAGTCATCAAATTCATTCACATGTGCATGGGAAAATTTCTCCCAGAAAGTGTATGGTTGAAGATTTGTTGATGGAAAAAAAGTGATTGACCAAACATTCTTTTGACAAAAAACATTAAAAAACAAGTTTTTTAAAATAAAATCATGATTTTTGCTGAATAAACATCATTTGTTTGACTAAAAACCAATATTTTTTGAATAAAATCACGTTTTTTTGAATAAATCCAAAATGTGTGTGAATAAATCCAATATTTTTGAAGATTTTCAAGGAAATGGGGTGTAAGTTTGATGTAAGTTTGCATCAAACTTACACTTTTGAGGTGTAAGTTTACATCAAATTTACACTAAACTTACACTAAACTTACACATCAAAAGTGTAAGTTTACACCAAACTTACATATCAAAAGTGTAAGTTTACATCAAACTTACACATACAAGTGCAAACTTACACTTCTCAGTGTAAGTTTGATGTAAACTTACACTTTTGATATGTAAGTTTGGTGTAAACTTACACTCTTTATGTGTAAGTTTAGTGTAAGTTTGATGTAAACTTACACCCCAACAGTGTAAGTTTGATGCAAACTTACATCAAACTTACACCTCATTTTCTTGAAAATCTTCAAAAAATCTTGGATTTATTCAAAAAAATATAGATTTTATTCAAAAATTCTTGGTTTTTAGTTAAAAACAATCATCTTTATTCAAAAAAAATATAGATTTTATTCAAAAAAACTTGATTTAAAAAGAAAAAACATGTGTGTTTTCAAAAAAATGTTTGATCAGTCATTTTTTCCATCAAAAAAACTTCAACCAAACACTTTTTCGGATAGATTTGCCCATGCACATGTGAATGAATTTGATGACTGGAGGGCCCCAAGTCATTGCAAAACATTTGGATTTATTTTCAGGAAATGGATTGGCATGGGAAAACCTAAGTGATTGATTAACTCTGGGTTGGATTGCATTTTCTTGCAAATAGGTGTGAGGAAGAAAAAAAAAGTAATGGATGGGCTCTGGGATTGACAACCGTTTTCTTTCTTATTGTAAGCATGAATCTGAAAACTGCAAAACCCAAAATTTAATGACAAATTCCAGGTTTGGCTGTGTAGAAAATGTGAATGCTGAGCACCCCAAGTCATTGTTTGTTTTTGGTCGCATTTTTTTTGGCATAAATGTCAAGGATGGAGAGCCCCAGGTGATTGTTAATCTTTGTGTTGGTTTTCTGATATCGAGGGCTGGAGGCCCTTTAGTGATTGATCAAGTCTTGGCTGGATTGGCCGTTTAGTTTTTGCAAAAAAAATTGAATACAACCAATCCTCACCGGGACTTTCTTCTTTTTTTTGCCGACCATTGCTTTTTGACAAATGAAAGGCCATCCAGTCTTGACAGTTTGTTTTTACAAAACTACTGCTGCCCGAACTGATTTCAAAAAAGGCCCTTTCAAACCCTTGGATTGCAGATAATTCAAGAAAGAAATCAGCCCAGGGCTGGGACCTCCATCTCAAGTTTTTTTTAGTTGAAAGAAAGTGGATGGCAGCAAAACAAAACGACAAACAAACAAAAACACATGAAGACCCATACACACGCATGAACAACCATGAACATCCATGGACACCCATGAGCACTTGAGCGCGCATGAGCACCCATGAACTCACATGAATTCGTGTTTTTCCAAATACAATGCAGCTGGCAAATTGTTTGTTGAATCGTATGTCTCACAGTTTTTGAGCTTCTTATTTTGGGTTGTTGGCTATCTATGTGAATTTTTGATTTAATTGTTTTTTTCTTGAACTGAACATTAATTTTATTTTTATGTTTTATATTTTTTTGGTTCTGTCCTGCGGTGGCCTCGCGTTCCAATTGCTGATTTTTGCAAAACATGACTTTTAATTTATATAAATATAGTTATTTATCATTTATCTATTTATTTATTTATATATTTATTTATCTATTTATTCATTCAGTATATGTATATATATATATATATATATGTAGTGTATGTATATATGATTATATGTGTATATATATATATATATATGTTTGTGTATACATGTATATATATATATATGTGTAAATTTATGTTTATTTTTTAAATACATACATATATATATGTATATGTATATATAAGTGTGTGTGTGGGGGGGTTGTCTCAAAATGGGGTGTCCTTCTTTCCTCTCAAAGAACCCTTTTTGGAACCAAAAAAAGACACCTCGTTTTGAGACATATCCATGTATATACAATATATTTATTTGTTGACATGTGTTTTTTGTTTCTATCCTGTGTTGGTTTGTCCCATCCAAAAAATATGTTTTCTGGTTTTCTTTTGTATGTAGTTTTTTCAGCATCATTTTATCGGAAAAATGTATCAAATCAAAAAATGTTTCATTGGAGATTGCAATATAGATAGATTTTTTATATATATAAAGAAAACAAAGTGTCCCCAAAAAAGGGTACCAAAACATGTTATTCATATAAATAACCTATAAGAAAAAAATGGTTATTCATATAAATAACCTAAAGAAAAAAGGTTATTTGATCATTCTGACTATTAGGTAAAACAGTTGTTTTACCTAATAGGTAAAAACAAAATTTAACTAATAGTCAGAAAACAAGATATAACCTAATAGATAGAATTTAGCCTAACCAGAGCTTTTGGGAGGTGCAAATTCCGTGGCAAGCGTGTCGTTTTGCAAGATGTGATGAAAATTGACGCAAGCCTCGCACGGAACATCGATTTTGAGGTAGCAAATTTTCAGGTTCTAAGGAAAACTCGTCCAAAAACTCGTCGATTTTGAAGCTACAAAGTGTCAAAATTGGAGGAAGTCTCGCACGAAATGCCCGTTTTGATGCTACCACGTGTCTTGTCTCGAGTCTCTGGCTTTCCTGTGGCCTTGCCGTGTCTTTGGAGGAAGCTGCAAAACCCCTCCTTTTCGAATGTTTCCAAGCAGGTTGTCATTTCGTTTTAGGTGGCGTGGCACTTCGTGACGTTCGGACGTGTTTTGCAACGTGTGGAAAATCGTGTTTGTGTGGCAGGCGCAATACTTTTGCGACGTTTTCACACAAGATGAGTTGCAGTTTTCGTGGCAGTCGCAGCATTTTGGAGATCTCTTTCGTCATTTTGCGTGGCGAGCGCAGCACATCAGGCGTGTCGCATTGCCTGCTCTACACTCCACACTCTACACTCCACACTCCGCACTCCACCCTTTGCACTCCACGCTCCACACTCTGCACTCCACACTTTACACTCCACACTCCACACACTACACCTTACACTCTACGCTTTACACTCTACACTTTACACTCCACACACCACACTGTACACTTTAGACTCGACACTTTACACTCCACACTTTACACTATACGCTCCACACTCTACACTCCACACTTTACAGTCACCCACTCCACTCCCCACAATTAACACTCCACACTTTCCACTCCACACTCTACACTTTACACTCCACACTCCACACTTTACACTTTACACTCCGTACTTTACGCTGTACACTCCACACTCCACACTCTACACACGACACTGCCCACTTTACGCTTTACACTCCACACTTTACAGTCTACACTCCACACTCCGCACTTTACACTCCGCACTCTACACTGTACACTCCACACTCTACACTTTACAATCCACACTCCACACTTTGCTACACTCCGCACTTTACACTTTACACTCCACACTCCACACTTTACACTCTACAGTTTGCACTCTACACTTACACTCCGCACTTTACACTCCACACTCCACATTCCACCACACTCTACACTTTGCTCACTCCAAGCTCCTCACTCCACACTCCACACTTTACACTCCACACTCTACACGCCACACTCTACACACAACACTCCCCACTCTACACTTTACACTCCACACTTTAGAGTCTACACTCCACACCCCACACTTTACACTCCACACTCTACACTTTACACTCCACACTCCACACTTTACACTCCACACTCCACACTTTACACTCCGTACTTTATACTGTAAACTCCACACTCTACACTTTACACTCCGCACTTTACACTCCACACTTTGAATTCCACACTTTACACTCTACAGTTTACACTCTACACTTACACTTTACACTCTACACTTTACACTCCACACTTTACACTCCACACTCTACATTCCACACTTTACACTCTACACTTTACACTCTACACTTTACACTCTACACTTTACACTCCACACTCTACACTCCACACTCTACACTCCACACTCCACACTCTACACTCCACACTCTACACTCCACACTTAACAATCTACATTCCTTACTTTACACCCCACACACCACACTCCACACTCCACACTCTACACTCCCTCCACAATCCACACCCCACAGTTTACTCCACACTCCTTACTTTACACTCCATTCTCTGCACTCCACACTCCACACTCTACACTTTACCCGCTGCACACTCCACACTCCACACTTTAGACTCCACACTCCTTACTTTTCACCCCATACTCCACACTCTAGACTTTACACACTCCCCACTCCCCACTCCACACTCCCCACTCCACAGTCCACACTTTACACTCCACACTCCTCACTTTACACTCCACACTCCACACTCTACACTTTGCACTCCACACTCCACACTCTACACTCCACACTTTACACTCCACACTCCACACACTACACCTTACACTCTACCCTTTACACTCCACACACCACACTGTACACTTTAGACTCGACACTTTACACTCCACACTTTACACTTTACACTCCACACTCTACATTCCACACTCTACACACGACACTTCCCACTTTACACTTTACACTCCAGACTCCACACTTTACAGTCACCACTCCACACGCCACAATTAACACTCTACACTTTCCACTTCACACTCTACACTTTACACTCCACACTCCACACTTTACACTTTACACTCCGTACTTTACACTGTACACTCCGCACTCTACACTCCACACTCTACACACGACACTGCCCACTTTACGCTTTACACTCCACACTTTACAGTCTACACTCCACACCCCGCACTTTACACTCCGCACTCTACACTGTACACTCCACACTCTACATTTTACAATCCACACTCCAACACTCTACACTTTAAACTCCACACTCTACACTCCACACTCTACACGGTACACTCCACACTTTGATCTTTACACTCCTCACTCCACACTCTACACTGTACGCTCCACACTTTACACTCCACACTCTACATTCCACACTTTACACTCTACACTTTACACTCTACACTTTACACTCTACACTTTACACTCCACACTCTACACTCCACACTCTACACTCCACACTCCACACTCTACACTCCACACTCTACACTCCACACTTGACAATCTACATTCCTTACTTTACACCCCACACTCCACACTCCACACTCTACACTCCCTCCACAATCCACACCCCATAGTTTACTCCACACTCCTTACTTTACACTCCACACTCTACACTCCACACTCCATACTCTACACTTTACCCGCTGCACACTCCACACTTTAGACTCCACACTCCTTACTTTTCACCCCACACTCCACAATCTAGACTTCACACACTCCCCACTCCCCTCCCCACTCCCCTCCCCACTCCCCACCCCACACTCCCCACTCCACAGTCCACACTTTACACTCCACACTCCTCACTTTACACTCCACTCTCCACACTCCACACTCTACACTTCGCACTCCACACTCCACACTCTACACTTTGCACTCCACACTCCACACTTTACACTTTACACTCCTCATTCCACACTCCACACTCTACACTTTACACTCCACACTTCACACTTTGCACTTTGCACGCCTCACTCCACACTTTACACTCTACACTTTACACTCCACACTCCACACTTTACACTTTACACTTTACACTCCTCACTCTACACTCTACAATTTACACTCCACACTGCACACTTTGCACTCGTCACTCCACACTTTACACTCCACACTTTGCACTCGACACTCCACACTCTACACTTTACACTCTACACTTTACACTCTACACTTTACACTCTACACTTTACACTCGACACTCCACACTCTACACTTTACACTCTACACTTTACACTCTACACTTTACACTCTACACTCTACACTTTACACTCCACACTTTACACTCTACACTTTACACTCCACACTTTACACTTTATACTGCGCACTCCTCACTCCACACTTTCCTCTTCACACTTCCACACTTTACACTGCACACTTTACATTCCACACTCCACACTCTACACTTTGCATCCTACCCTCTTCCGCATTCCACATTTTACAGTGCAATGGTACGGTAACAGGGGAAACATGTAGACTGTTCAAATAACTTGTTTCACAATAGTGTTCTACGTGACTGCATTCGGGTTCGTGGGCTGCATCTGGTTGTTTTTTGATAACCTGTGTTGAATAATATTGACTTGTTATCAATTGTTTTTAGTGGATTGAGGTTTGTTTTTCATTTTTCATTGAGTTTGTCTTGTATGTATAGATGTTTTGATATCGATATCTGGTTTTCATGCGAGGGTCCGCTCCTTGCAACTGCTTTCAACAGTCATGGGACATTTCCTGAGGATATCCACACCGACATCAAGGAGACCCGGATGGTTACCGGTAGCCACGGCTCCTGAATCTCAATGGGACGCAAATCTCCACATTGGTTGGGGACATGTTGGGAACATGGTTTTGCATGTGTTTGATCAGTTTTGTCGTCGGTGGAAGTCAAACGGACGTTTGAATCACACGCGTATATAGTCCCATTGCTTGAGGGAGAGCCCTGCAGCGTGTGTGGATTTTTCCAGGGGCACAGTAATGTAGCATTGGAAGCTTGGTAGTATTGGTAATATTTGCCTAGTGTTGAATATGTTCTGCCGTGAAAAAGAAGGCGTTAGCGCGAGATCTAGCAAACAAACCACCATAGTTGTCTTTCAACCATCCACTTCTGAAGCAATGACTATGCAGTGTTCCGACTTATCCCATCCCCAGGAGAATCTTCAGTGGGTCAAGCGACTCTCGGACACAGAATACCTCAATGATGCGTTGATTGTGGCAGGACCAAGCATGGCCATTGCATATCATGTGTATACTGGGGGGATTGCCTCATAGCTGTTGAGGGTGAGCAAAATCATATTGGCTGACAAGGGTGTTAGTAACACAGCGTCTTCAGCACATCAGATTCATCACGAAGAGACAATTGTCAGCTGATTGAAGAACATTGAACTCCGCTTTGAGGGGCGCTGGGGTTAGCCAACGGGTCAGTGAAGGGCTTGATATCCAAATATGCAATAAATGGGTCAGAATGGGTTCTCTATTATTTTCAAAATTGTTTGAAGCAACCCATCTGTCAAGAAACTAAACATTTCGCACAACAAGGCAGATGAGCAACCATTGATGGCTACTGGTGGCTACTACAATATACAATGTGGTGCCCCCTATATTGGTGTTTGTTGCTATAGACCCATCTAACAAACTTTGGTCTATAGGTATTTCATCACCATAAACCCAACGTTTAAGGTAGACACACACCAACTTAGCAATCCCAACGTGGGGCAAAAAGCGTCAGGAGACGTCTCGGATTCGATGGACACGTTGGAACTTACGCTCGCGACACTCAAAAGGAAGCAGCTGGCCTCAGTTCAGCGCCGGAGGTGGAGAAGTGTGGTTAAGAACTGTTAGTTATACCATAATTAACTGAAGAAGTATGTTTATCCAAAAAATGTTTGACCGTTTTTGTTTCAAGGGTTGGTTAAGATGACTCTGAAGATGATTCTGAAGAAATTAAATGGACATGGGTTTGCAGATTTTGTTAATAATGATGCGAGATCAAAGGAATCCAAAATAGTTTTACTTATACTGTGGTTATTTAGATTTGAGCAGAACCGAAGCCTGCGATTTGATTGGAATGGTGAGGACTGGGGTGATTATTTCAACAGTGCTAAAGTTTTCTGGTTGGTGAGTTGCTGTATTTGTCCAGATGATAGGGGTCGATCTGCCCAATATATAGGAAATAATATATATATATATATATTTATTTATAATATAATAAATCTATATATATATATAATATAAAATTATTATTATATATATAATATCATATAGATATATAATATCATGTATATAAGTTTATTTAGATATAATATCATATATATATATGTATATTATATTATAATATATATATATATGTATATATATATATGTATATATATATATATATGTAAAATATAATATGTATATTATATGATATATATAAATATATACGTTATATATATATATATATATTATGGCTATAGGTTTATGACACCGTGCACATGTATGTGGACCGGATGTGGCGGAACAGTGCAGCAGAACACCCCCCGGCAGAACTGGTGTTCACACCAAACACACACGTTAAACCCGAGTTCATCCCTCTATAACTTGAAGATTGCAAACCTCTATCACTTCTATGTTTGTGGTGTCAACACCAGTAAGAGGCCATGCGCGTGTGGATATGCTTGTTGGGTGTGGGGGTGGGTGGGGGGGTGGGGTGGGGTGGTTGGGATGTTAACGGTCATTGCGACTGCAACCACACAGTACGTTCTCTTGCACTTCCACACATACTTCATGCTGCTGCACGTTCTCTTGCACTTCCACACATACGTCATGCTGCTGCACGTTCTCTTGCACTTCCGCACATACGTCATGCTACGCTGCTGCACGTTCTCTTGCACTTCCACACATACGTCCTGCTACGCTGCTGCACGTTCTCTTGCACTTCCACACGTGCGTCATGCTACGCTGCTGCATGTTCTCTTGCACTTCCACACATACGTCATGCTACGTTGCTGCACGTTCTCTTGCACATCCATACATACGTCATGCTACACTGCTGCACGTTCTCTTGCACTTCCACACATACGTCTTGCTACGCTGCTGCACGTTCTCTTGCACATCCACGCATACGTCATGCTACACTGCTGCACGTTCTCTTGCACTTCCACACATACGTCATGCTACGCTGCTGCACGTTCTCTTGCACTTCCACACATACGTCATGCTGCTGCACGTTCTCTTGCACTTCCGCACATACGTCATGCTACGCTGCTGCACGTTCTCTTCCACTTCCACACATATGTCTTGCTACGCTGCTGCACGTTCTCTTGCACTTCCACACGTGCGTCATGCTACGCTGCTGCATGTTCTCTTGCACTTCCACACATACGTCATGCTACGTTGCTGCACGTTATCTTGCACTTCCACACATACGTCATGCTACACTGCTGCACGTTCTCTTGTACTTCCACACATAGGTCATGCTACGCTGCTGCACGTTATCTTGCACTTCCACACATACGTCATGCTACGTTGCTGCACGTTCTTTTGCATTTCCACACGTACGTCATGCTACACTGCTGCATGTTCTCTCTGGCACTTCCACACATATGTCATGCTACACTGCTGCATGTTCTCTTGCACTTCCACACATATGTCATGCTACGCTGCTGCACGTTCTCTGTCTCTTGCACTTCCACGCATACGTCATGCTACGAGCCAGAACAGCTTGCTATGCTGATGGTTGCAAAGCTTGGAAAGGAGCCTCCAAACAACAAGTGCCAGAAAAACGCCTCAAATGGTAAAACTTTGCCCACAATCGCGGTGAGTTTGTGAAGCACTTGGGAGGAAGCCCACGAAAAAAAAAAAAAACATCTTCTTTGCCCGGAACGCAGACTTTAGACAGACAGTGGGATTGGGACCAGGTATGCGGACGTGTTCTTCGTCCCGGGTAATCATGACTTGTGGACTGCTCCTTGCCTCGAGAGAGAAAAGATGGGACGGTTTCAGTACGGGAAATGGTGGTTTAACCTATTGAAGCCGACGACACATAGTGAGTTAACCAATACAATTCATTGTTTATATAACCATGAAACTGGTGGAGTTCAACTAGACAATTTGTGGAGTTTCCATGGAATATCAGTATAGAGTTCTGGGGAAGTGGATCGAAATAGTGGTTCAATTCGTGGTATATCCGCGTAGATAAATTCACCAGGAATATCTCCTTATTACTTACTGAGTTGGTGGGAGGGGCCACCAATAAAACATGTTGGAGTCCAAGGGAAAATTCATTGGAATATCAGCGTGGATTTCTGGGGAAACATTGGATTCAGCTATTGAACCAACAAAATACCGGGAATCAATCGAGCCACTGGCGCGATGTAATTGTCGGGGTGTAATCATCAAACCATAGGGGATCTCATCATCAAACTGTTGGGAGACGTTGGATTGGTTAGTTTCATGTTTTTTTGCTTACCACAATTACCCAGATGCCCCATGATGCTGGAATATTTACCTACATGTGGGCCATTTTGGGGTAAATGTAGGTAAATATTCCATACATGGAGCATTTGGGTTAGGAGATGTATTGACCATGTTTTTCGTGGCGGTTTTTGTCGTAGTTTCGATTGGGACTGATTCTTCTCGGTTATCATTCTGGGTGAATTCTAGCGCAACCTCATTGATCGACCTCATACTTTCCGATTGGGATGGGTAATTCTGAATTCTCATAGCAATGATCTATGTCAGGTGTTGGGATGGTTGTATTTTAGCCAGATGCATCCAACATATCCAAGTTACGTCACATGGTGACGGTCTTTGATGTTTTTTGCTATAGATACCCTCCGGGCCTCAGAATCGTGGCAACGATAAATCCCCTTTCGAATATTTTTTTTGCCCAGAGAAAGCAATTGTGATTTCCATGTTGAATTGTCCATGTCCATTTTTTAGATTTTTTCATTTTTGATTTGTTGAATATGAATCTTTCCTAAAATGGTGGTACCCCAAGTCAGCATGGTTGTTTTAATACTAGGTCATGGTCATTCATGACTTGGATGATTTTAGGGGTACCCGTATTTTAAGAAACCCCCCTATGGCTAGTCTTTCCAAAAAAATGTCAGAGCTGGCGTGGTGTTGCCAAGCCCTGCAGGATGATGTGGACTCCATTTCCAAACTTCATCAGATCGTGGCCCTCTGCCAACGTTTGCAGATCCACACGGCTGCCAGAAGAATTGGCACGGAGAAACAGGCGCCACCTGCCAAGCAGCCCCTGGAAAAAAATAATGGTCATGGCTAAATTGGGGAAACGTTTGAAACATATCTAAGTATGACTTGCTCTGAATTTGTTTTTTTGATTTCGGCCCAGGTTGCCTAGAATTATCCACATCCTTGCTTGGTTTACAGTAGATACTATGTCCAGTTTGGATTATTATGACAATTTTGCCACGCCCTCAACTTGAAGTTGCGGTGAAAACAATGAATATTTTGTCCCTGTTGCCCATATTCAATATTTGATTGCCCATAGTCAATATTTGTATACAGGGTTCAAACCTACATGCTCTAGATTTTCGCTGAGTATTCTGAAGTCTTTTGGATTTGGTGCGGTGTTTGGATGTCTTTTTTCCCTACCGCCACAGCCGGCGAGCACTCGGCTCGCTCCAAGCTCGCAGGGCTGCTGGGTGTGTCCCATCCTGTCGTGGCATCATCAAAGTTGGGATCCGGAACCTGACCTGCAAGGCCGAGGAGAAATCCGTTCGAGTCATGGATCTACATGGTGTGTCTGAGAAAAAGGGGGACGCATAACCCTAATGATATGGCAACTTAAGATATTATGTTATGGGGTTATACTATCCAACAATATCCAGTATATACGGGATTATCATCATCCAAATTATCATTTGACTTGGAACAATGGAGATATGGTGGGATATACAACCACTATGGCAATTAGATATGTCTGAGCATTGGGGATTGACAGATTTACCATTTAATATGTGATAGATATATATACATATATATATATATAATTTTAAATGTGGGTAGTATGATGATTGACTCTAGTGGATAGGGTACAGTAGCCCATGTCCGGACAAAGCCATGTAGGAGCGGCTGCTGATGGAATGAGACCATGCAACTGGGTGATCAGATAGATTTTCAGTTGAGCATTTTGTGTTTGTTTCCGTACATCAAGGAGCTATCAAACATAGAGATACTTTGTGTTGTTTTGTTTTTGGATATTTCTGATCAAAACTCAAATAGATTCAGAAAACTTGCATCTCCCTCACCAGAGGTCGGTAGACCTGTAATTTCGGAACAGTTTGGATGGGACTCCCATCATCTTCAAAAATGCATCCCCTTGTGCTATTGTCGGATAAGATGGAATGTGTTTCTTCACAAGCCCATCTGTAGCAACATATAGCCGCAGCCCACCTATAGTTAAGCCAGGTATCATCTGGTTATTTAACAGTTCGCCATGGAAAACGCACCCATTTTTAAGTTCGGTAAACCATCTATTTCGATTAGGGCCATCTATACCATGGCTATGTTAGTCATAACCAGAGGGTATCATATCTTAGCCAGCTGTGGCACCACCATGGCGGCCGTGGCGGCCAGGTTGGGATCTTCCTTCGGAGCCCGCACAGTGCATGGTGGATTTTGAGCGCTGTCGCTTTCCACCAGGTGTTCCTTGGATGCGCGGAATGTCAACCCATGGCCCCTTGGGAAACATGAAGATGTTGGGAAAATAGGTTGAATAATGGAAATCCATAGGCTTTCGGTCTACAAATGGCGTTTGTTGTCCACATCTCATATGAACATATTGGAGAATCTTGGCATGTGCTGGCATGTATACTAGCGTATATTTAGACATATTTAGACCCATTCTGGCCTTCACCATCCTTGCCCCTCTTATCGGTGTTGAATGACTATTGTAGAAGGGGTGCCTCATATCTATCGATATTGTTATCAATGACTCTTCCTTCAAGGAGGGTAAGGCACCCTAAATCTATCCCTGCATACTGTTGCTCCATATACAAGGTGGGGTCTCCCAGTTTTAAGTTGGTTTATGTTTACTCATTACATAACTAGTTCTTTGCATCCCCATAAAACCAAACATGAACAAGGATATGTGGGTCAAATGGGTTTTCTAGGGGGCACCATTTTGTGTATCGGTTGTTATGCAATTATCATATCCCGGTTGTACCATTACATAATAGCATATTCCATTAATATCGCAAGACATTATCATATTTCTTGTGGTTAATCTTCCCATCATATGTGGCCCAAGATGAAAAGCAAACTGTCGCAAGAACACGAGGTCTCCATGTTTGATGAGTCAGCCGCACGGAAAGTGGACACCTTGACACTTGGCAGTCCAAGGTCGCCCATGGTGCACGTGTCTATGGGTGGTGCAGGACTGGGGTTGTTTCATGGGTATAATCCCTGGGATAGGCCACACAAGTCAGGATATGGGACCGCTATAACATCCTGTGCCTTAAATGATGGTTACATATCCAGTTGTAGTTGAACAAGCTGGCTATTTAAATAGTAGGTGAAGTCTGAAATCTGTTTCGATTTCTAGCAGATATATGATTTCATAGTATTCCATATAGAGCTAATAGGATTTGGAAACAGCCTATCATGGAACTTGTCGCCAAACAGGTTGAACGAACGGGGTGTTACTGTCTCCCTGTTGATGACAAGCAATAGGTAAATGATGGTGTGATATGGTGATCGCATATGGTCTTCCTTTTCTTAAACCAATTTTTAGTGTACATGTAGTAAAGACATATGCTATCCACATCTGGTTGGTAGTTTGGAACATTTTTTGTTTTTCCATTTCATAAATGGGATGTCATCCGAAACCCATTGACGAACTCCATCATTTTTGAAGATGGTTAAGTCACCACCAAGCAGTAAATAGTGGAACTCAGTTCACTGACCGCAGCAGGGGCATGTTATGATCGTTTCGGCATGCCTGGCTTGTCATTGCCCCCCCCCAAAAAAAAGCGGCATCCTGTGGATTCCTGTGGAGGTGCACGATTTTGTTTGGGAGAATATATACCTGTGGAGGTCCATATCCGTCAGATGGTAGGCATATGATATCTTGTGTATTTTGATGGAGAAACATTAAAAGAAAAACATGCTGAGGTGTTGTGTTAGTTTCGGCGTGAGTTTGGCCTGCTGCAAGCTCAGTCATAGAGAGATGTCCTTTTGTACTCCAAGTTGGGGGCAAATGATGTTAAATGTCTTTAAAGCACCATTACATATCCCTTTTGGGGAATCAGGCTTTGGTTTGTCACATGTTGCAGTACACCGATTGTGTTTCAGACCTTTGAGTAAACCTGTTTAAGCTGGTATCGAGTTGAATTATATATATATATATATAGTTTGATTGGTAAGATATGTTAAGATGTCAACTCCGACTACCATGCCTTTCAGATTTCTACAGACAAATTCTGTGTGCTTTTGGGGGGGCAATGGAGCGCTATGTGAATCTGGAATGTGGAAGATGTGGTGAGAGACTGTACAGCGACTTGTGTGATTTCAAAGAAAGCGATGGATCCCAACCTCACCTTGACAGAGAGATCTATACCAACCAAGCGCCAGACACTGGTTGGTGGTTTGGGACATTTTTTATTTTTCCAATATATTGGGAATGTCATCATCCCAACTGACGAACTCCATCATTCAGAGGGGTGGCGAAAAAAACACCAACCAGGACAACTTGATGAGTTTGACAGATGTGAAGATCAACTCCTGGGAGAAATGTTCCTACAACTGCAGCCGCAATTGTCACAACCCGTTTTTTCTAATTGATGCAGGGACAGGTATCATCGACAGAGGCGGTTACAAGTATGCCCTTGCATGTGGTGACCGGTACGTGCGGGTTGTAGAGGCCTGGTGAAGGGTCATGTTTTGATGGAGGGAAAGGGCAGCTACTCAATGTTTCACAGGTTACTTGAGCAATACGGCCAAACAGGACCAAAGACTACAGTGACTAATACAGTAATCCAATTTGGACTTGGATAAACCAGCGAAACCATTTTTTGTGTAAAATCCGACTTGACTTTCAAAATCTTTCAAATCTGTTTGTGTGAAGGTTTCTTCTACCAATATAAGAAGGTTTTAAACCACCCCCGTGTAGGCCCCGAAAGTGGCCTTGGTCTTCACCATTCTTTGCACCTGGCACGACGACGGCACGGCCACGGTGTCCTTGCGCAGCGTCACCGGAGAATGCCGAGCTTCGCTGGTGGTGGAGGAACCTGGCAAGACGACCTTTGGGGAAGTGAAAACCGAAGCTTGGGTTTTTGCCAAAAAGTAGCGGGTCAGATGTTACCATGGCAGCAGGTTTTAGATATTTAAAAAATAAACAAATAAATGAAAATAAAAATTAAAAAAAATAAGAACGTTAATATTGATGAATAGTGCACAACTTTAAAAAGGATATATATATATAATATGTATTTAAATGTTATAGTTATAGTTGAAAAAATGTAGACACTGAATTCAAGTCCAAAAGGTACACAGAGCTCACAACCTCGTCTTAGGACTGATGAAGGCCAGCTAAGGGAGTGATAAAACGTTTTGGAAGAGCGCTTCGTCTAGGATCGGGAAAGACCAGTCCAAATTGATGATTCCGATTGACATCTCATCTCCCCCAGCAACAATCAATAGACACCAAACCCGAAATCTTTCACATGTGCGTCAATCTTTGGGAAAAATCGTACCCTTCACTCAGGACGTGCTGAGTGTCTTGGCGTTGGCTCCTGACGCGGTGCCCAAATTCGTGCTGGAGAATGGCCTTCTGCTGACAGACGATGACCTCACTGTAGCGCAGATCTTTGCATAGCTCAGCTGGGCTGGTGACTGGTGGAACTTTCTTGATGGATCTTGATGGGCTCACTGTTGTCACCAGATGTCACCAGTGATCTTGATGGAGATGGTGGTCACGAAACTTGCGTTGCTTGAAGGACTCACTGTTTGCTCATCCTTGTTCTGAAGAATGTGCTGTTTGCACAACTCAGTGGACGTGAAAAGCATTTGCAGTGCTGCAGCAGACAGGCGGTTAAAGAGCCTTTGCATGCGCTAGCATGTTTGATGTGAAGAGGAGGCAAGTGTTGGGATTGATCTCAGCCAAGCGCAACATTGAAGCTGAGATGACCAAACAGGATGTGGTGTAGAGAGACTAGACCATTCCTCGCATCAAATGCCACCACCAGGTGTATACACTGAGATAGAGACTCCCATAGAAAATTCAATGTCAAACCAATAGCACCATGGCTCTGGTGATTTCAGTCCAATGACAGTGAAGGTTAGAGTTAGGGTATAGCATCTTTTTCAGAGGACATAAGCACCAAACAAAGGACTGCGTTTGCTTCATGAGTTGGTTTTCAACACTGGGTGTCCTCTCTGTGACCGTCTTTTGTCACTTGAGGAACGATCGTTTGGAGGTTTTGGCACCATTGGCAGATCGCAAAGACGTGGCTTGTCCATGTGTCTTTTTTGATGCTGATGTTAGTCTCATGACATGACGCACAATGACACCAGAACAGTCATATTTGTCAAATACATGTGTTGTTTGATTCATACATCTTTTGATCCAAGGTAAAGTCACGTAAGGAGAAAAACACAAAGAAATGTGTGCTCTCAGTGTTTGAAGGCCAAGCAACAGAATGCCAGCAACGTAGCTGTGATGCGTGTGTGAAGGGTTCATGTTATTTGGATTTGAAAGACATGCCCTCAGGGCTATTCAGACTGGCTGAAATCTGAAGATCTGCAATTACGTGCTATTCGATTGCATAAATGATGTGTATTGAGGATGAGCCTTTGGTCACGTTCTCTCACTTTTTGCCTTACATTGACACTTGGCATTGGGCAACTTGCGACTGGGATGGGGAATCTTGGTAGCTCGGGTACAAGCCGTTTTCACTCGATGTTTGCTGTATGTTTTTTTGTTTGGGCGATCGTGCCTTCGTAAGCACTTAGGGACTTAGGGACATTGTGGGACTTTCGAGGCGTGCCTTAATAGATGAAACACAGGATGCCTGATCCATGTTTTTCTTGTTGATGTCATTGTCCTATGAATGTGCTATGTCATTAATGTCCTTGTTGATGTCATGAATGTCCTATTAATGTCCTATGTTTTTCTGTTGTGAAGCCCCAAACATGCCCCAGGTTGTTGTGCGGTACGCCACAAGGGTGGCGTGTCTCATCTCAGGATCTCCTCTTGGAGAAACGTTTCTTGATGATTCCCTGCTTGGCGAAGGTGGGGGATGGGGAGCTTGGCAAAGATTCGTGCCTTGAAATATTAAAGTCCTTTATAGTTATACGGATGAAGTCACCCAAGCAAAAGGTGGTAAACACAATGTAAACACAGTTTTTTCATGGGGTGGATGAGGGTGTAGACAATATATATATGTGTATATATATATATATGTAATATGAAGTCAGAGCAACGTGATAGTCAGAGAGGTGGAGACAGGTGGACTAAATAAGAGTAGATACTGTACGCACTATCCATGTTGTTAATTTGTTGTTAGTTTTTGTTAGGATTCCCCAGTTGTTATTTGTGCTCGATGTAATTTCCTCTACATGTGTTACCCCTCATAGACCTCATAGACCTTTCACTGTCAGTATATGTATCTTATCTATATCTGTCTTGCTTACTGTAGATTAACATGTTTGTGGGTTCATCTTCATGGAAAGATACATTCCCGATAACATTTGCAAAGGAGTCCAATTCTTGTTGTTTAACTTTCCGCCAGCACGATTTTGTTGTTCGAACGGGTTCAACCCCATTTGTAGCTTATGTTTTTCTTTACCTTTTTAAAACCCAATTAATCCTGATTACCAATGTTTTAAATTCAAGTTTAAATGACAATTTTGTACCTCTAACCTATCTCATTATATAAAGGAAAAAACTGATTTCATTGAAAAAATCAGGATCAACTAACCTGTCTTATCTACCTTAAGTAAAGTCTGATTTTCTTACTTCAAAGCTCCAAATTTGGGTGCCTCACCCAGGCCTCCGGCTCCGACTTTTTGCAGAAACGCCTGGAGAGCCTGCGGCTTGGTCCAGATTACCTGGAATTGGTATCTAATGTTTATACTAAAGTTACAGGCAGGACTGAGAGTTTGCCCGGAACGGAATGAGTGACGTTTTAAGGCGGCTAATTTCACTGTGCAGGGGCAGTGTTTTATGACTTTGGTACATCTTTGGGTTACTATGTTCCACGTCAATGTTTTGGAAAAATCTTTCGGAAAAGTGAACCCTCTGCCCTCTGCGGACTTCATGCGTGTCGGCCTTTTCCCGTTTTTCACTTCTTTGGCGAGTCTGGAGTGTTCATATGTTCAAAAAGCCTAAATATAAACCCCAAATCAAACGATTTATGAAGCGAATTCAGGGGAGATAGAGTCAAATAGAGAGATTTGGGGTACCTTCAGCGCAACATCAGTTCAGGAGAAGCTAACATGAAATCACGCGTATGGTTTCACAATGTGTTGGATCTAAACAAATGAGTTCAAACAATGGGGACATGCAGATCCAGCAAGGGATCAGGTTTAAAACTAATCGATCATCATGAGAATAGTAGCAGATATGGGGTATGACATCACGTTGATTTGATTTGTATGAGAATTAAATTGATGTATATGAGGATATAGCATTAAACCAGCAAAGGTCGTTCATTCAATGTCCAAAAAAATACTTTACTTCGTGTGATCCCCACCATGACATTTATCGATTTGTTACTGGCAAATCTTCTAGCATTATATCTGACATATCTTCTGGCATTCGATCTGGCATACCTTCTGGCATTCTACCTGGCATATCTTCTGGCATATGTTCTGGCATATCTTCTGCCATCCTATCTGGCAAATCTTCTGGCATTATATTTGGCAAACATTCTGGCATACCTTCTGGCATTCTATCTGATATTTTATCTGGCATACCTTCTGGCATTCTATCTGGCATATTTTCTGGCATATGTTCTGGCATATCTTCTGGCATTCTATCTGGCATTCTATCTGGCATATCTTCTGGCATATCTTCTGACATCCTATCTGGCATTCTATCTGGCAAATGTTCTGGCATTCCTCTGGCACTTTATCTGGCATACCATCTGGCATATCTTCTGGCATACCTTCAGGCATTCTATCTGGCATATCTCATGGCATTTTATCTGGCATATCTTCTGGCACCCTATCTGACATTCCACCTGGCATATCTTCTGGCATTCTATCTGGCCGTTGAGGTCCAGCGGTGCACATTCTTTCTAACTTTCTTCTGCACATTCTTTGTCCCATATCTTCCTACATGAGGTCCGGCAGGGAACACTTGGCGTGGATACTCGCGGTTGAGGTCCGGCAGGGAACACTGGCCGTGGATGGTCGTGGTTGAGGTCCGGCAGGGAACACTGGGCGTGGATGGTCGTGGTTGAGGTCCGGCAGGGCACACTGACGTGGATGGTCGTGGTTGAGGTCCGGCAGGGAACACTGAGCATGGATGGTCGTGGTTTGAGGTCCGACAGAGAACATTGTGGATCGCGGGTCGCAGTTGGACGAGGACGACGAGGACGACGAGGACGACGAGGACGACGAGGACGACGAGGACGACGAGGACGACAAGGACGACAAGGATGACAAGGAGGACGAGGAGGACGAGGAGGAGAGGAGGAGGAGGAGGAGGACGAGGCAGGAGGAGGCAACTGACATAAAATCTAACAACCCTCACCTGGCAGGTGGGGAACAATGGAATGGCATCAGTCAAGGTGGCACCCAAGCACCAATCAAATAATATCACCAACAAGAATCACAAGAACAGGTAGAGAAGTGAGAGAAATTTATTTCATAGGACGTTCACAGAAACAAGAGAATATTAATTTCACTTTATGGACGCCGTACATCCAAAGCCACTGTCAGCGCTTCCCAGTACGTTGTTAGCCACACGAGTTGGATTTCCCATTCCATTCCTCCCGCGCCGCAAAGGAAACCAGCCGTGCACATCTTTGGTCACACACACTTTGGTTGGGATACAG